ACCAAGGCAAGCTGGCAGAGGCAGAGGCCATGTACAGTCGGGCGCTGCAAGGCTACGAGGAGGCGCTTGGCCCAAAACTGCTGCTCTCATATTTACCAGCGCTGAATACAATGTTCAGCTTTGGTGACCTACTTTCTACAATAGGTCAGGAAGACACAGCGAATATTATGTACACTTATGCGTTAGATGGGTATACAACTATCCAAGGGCCTTCTTCAAAATGGTGCAAGCAGCTAAGAGATCGACTTGAATTGACGCAAGCTACGTCCCTAGAGCCAAAAGACCAAGGTAAGTCTGCAGAGGTTAGAGTGACAAAGTCAAGGTCCCTAAAGCGCATAATTCGCAAGTTTAGAAAGGTAGATTTGTAATAGTAGGTAGCTAGAAGAGTACTTTCAATCTAGGAGAATATGTCAAGAATGCAGCTTTATATACTTAGAATTGCTGTGATGTTAATTTGACGAGCGCATGACATGGACATACTTTAGTAGCCATTAACTTATTAAGTACAATTTGAGTAGCGCGTGTTGATATGCTTAACAAGAAGCTAAGATATATTTTGCGCCAGAACTTAGCTACGCGCAAGTAATTTTTGTATACAAAGTGTTTTCTCTAGAGAGTAGGAGCTATAATGCGCGATAGACAGTAGCGAATTAATCATCCTAGCACTCATATCGAAATGTGAGCATTTGAAGCTGAGGTACCTCGCTTAATTTTCTACATGGTGGGTTTTCCTGATCTACGGGATAGACGTTATCTGGTAAAGTGAATGTTGTCTAGGGATTGATATGGACTTTGATTCCTGCGCTAAAATTCCTCTCCATACGTATGCATCTGGTTTCCCTGCATATACTCGCATTGATTGCCACACGATCTTGCTGTTTGTCTTCGAGAAGCCACAGCTCACGCAAAAGATCGCCAGAGGTCTTAATCTCCCGGGTCTTGAGCCACATCAACAGAAGAGACGCCAACGGTACCATTCTGGGCTTGAACGGACCTGGCGGCACAGGATGTGAACTCATATCATTCTTTAGTCTTCGCCATCGCAAAGGGAGCGACACTCATAGCTTCCTGGATGCCGTTTTCAGCTTCAGTACATTGCCAGGTGCATTGTTACCCATCCTGATTGTTCCAGCTGCACTCCATGTGGCATTGCATGGGATGGGTGCGTCTCTTACGTAGCCTTCGACAGATCGGGCAGCACCAGTTGACATTACCCTCTAACATCACGATTTCTAAATCGCACGGACAGGATAGCCGTAACGGGCCTGAGGTCTCATTTCAGAGAACTGGCAGACTGAAACGTTGTTACCACATTTTGCTCGTATTATGTTTTCACAACAAGCACCACATTGCGCGTTCGGTCGCTCTCTGCGTTTGTCTCCTTCGCACCAAGTTTCCTGCGCGATGCCCCATTCGGGCCCTCCGCAGCAAGCCACTTGGCTGCCCCCATCGGCCTTTTTCGTGGTTGTTACTTTTAGCTACTCCAACTCCACACGCTCCATGAACCGTAGTCGCAACTGTTCTACTCCGCCAAGCTCTCCACACCACATTCACTATCTAATGTTCGGTTCCAGTCCTCCAAAGACCGCGCAGGACATTTACCCACTCCGAAAGTTTAGGTTGCAGACTCCACAACCCACAATCTGCGAACTTCCCAATTTGTTTAATTGCCACGGAGCACGACGCATAGCTGCCTTCTGCTCAAGACCGCGGTCCTCCGCAGCACACCTCATGAGCTCGAAAAGTCCTGTTCTGGTCCTGCATTCCACCCCACGTAGTACTTGTTGGAAAGCGTTCTAGTCCCTAGTGAGCACACCGCAGCGCAGCAATCTCTTTGGCATGTGGCCCCCCAAACCTCACCACATCGAATAGACACCAAGCGGTTTGGTCCCGCCGTCCGCACCATACCCGGATTTGTTGTGTTTGTTTTCGTCCCCAAAGGCACACTGCATAAGTCCCATCTCCTCGAAATCCTGACCACCAGAGGCACTCCACATGCGATGTCATCATCAACTTCAGGTTCTCGTCCCGCATTTTCAGTCCCACAGTCTACACCCCGTTTCCTCCTTTCGCACTTTGTTTTGTTCCCAGGACCGTACTACATGAGCGTCACCACGCCGCCATCAAGCCACTCAGACCGCACCTCATGCCGTCGTTCGTTTCCTGTTCTAGGCCCACAGTTCCCCACGGTCTTCGAGCGTGGAGCCTCACCTTTTGTTGCCAGAGGCACGCACGACACCAAGCGTCATTTTGAAACCTTGTTTTCAGCCACCAAGACCACGCCACACCAAAATCTTTCATTTCCCCGAGGCCGTTGAGTCCTCGTAGCGCTCTGCATCGCTTGGATCCTCTTTTTATCCTCGTCTCTCGCAACACACCACACCACATCGGGTTGTCTCCGGGCTTTTCATTATTCGTTCCCCACACCACACCACATGACCCATGAGTGCCTGTTCTTTGAATCTCCATGGCAAAGGGATCGAAACTTGTGTGCCCACCAAACCACCCAGAGTCACTCTTTGATATGCACTTCCGGGGCAGGGCTTACATAAGCCTCAGCAATTATGGTGACGGTGAACATCAGAAAGGACGAGAGGGGTCACATCGAACGTATCGATTGACGTTGAAGTCCATCTAGATACCCATTAATCTAAACCCTCGCCAGGCCGTGAAAGATGCCAGTAAACGCCATGCCATGCCTTCCTCTCCGAACTTACTCCCCCTTCCCCTGCCTGACCATCCAACTCAGCAGATCCACCTTCGTAACCACCGCCTTGGGCACCAACTCCTCGCCCCGCCTCTCCGTCACCACCGCCGCGGCGTTCCACTCGAAGAACTTCATCAGATCCGCGAGCTTCGTCTCCATGGTGATCTCCACAAACTGGCGCTCGCGCTTGCTCTCCTCGCCCTCGAGGTGCAGCCGTCCCAGATCCTTGACAACCTCCTCGAGTTTGCGGAAGTCGAACATGACGTCTTCGACAGGCGTGTCGCCGCTCGCGCGGCCGGAGGAGAGGTAGCTTAGGACGTTGCCGAGCGTCAGAAGGCCGACCAGCTTGGGCTTGCCGGCCGGGGAGTACAGGCTGACGGGGAGCTGGTCGAAGCCTTTTTCGCGCATAGTTTCGATGGCCTCGGAGCAGGGCGAGTTTGTGGGAATGGTGGTGATGGGTTTGAGGCGGAGGGCGGCGATGGTGGCGCCGGCGAAGGCGTCTTTGGAGAGGGAGTGCCGGCGCGTGTGGGCGGGGGTTGTTGCGGGGGTGATTGGGGGCGTCGGGGGGAGGAGCGAGTTTGCAGCGAGCCAGTCGTCGTCGACGAACTACCGTCATCATTAGCATATTGATGAATCGCTTGGATTACGGAGGAAAAGGATAAGTACCTTGCTGAGATAGCTGCGGATCGAGTCCGGACAGATGACAACCACAACGTCGTCCGCGCCCAGATTTAGTTCCTGGATCGCCTTCACGGCCGCTTCCATAGCGCTCCCGCTGCTTCCACCGCAGAGAATGCCCTCCTCTGAGATGAGTCGCCGCGCATACTGGAACGCCGTCCGGTCATCCGTCTTGTACCACTTATCCACGACCTGACGCTCCAGCACATCAGGGATGAAGTCGTACCCAATGCCCTCAACCTTGTACGGCTTGTCCTTGAACTCTTCGTTCAAACTCTCCGGCAGCGCCAGAATGCTACCCTGCGGATCAGCCGCGATAATCTTCACCTCGCGGTTGTGCTTGTGGATGCCGTGCGCAATGCCCGTCACGGTGCCGCCCGTCCCCGCGCCCGCCACGATGCACGTCACCTTCCCCTCGGTCTGCTCCCAGATCTCCTCGGCGGTCCCGTTCTCGTGCGCAAGCGGGTTGTCCTGGTTGGTGTACTGATCCAGAATATGCGCATTGGGCAGCTCCTTGACCAGCCTCCGCGCCACGCCAATGTGGCTCTCGGGACTATCCCACGCGGCGCTCGTCGGCGTGCGCACGACCTCGGCGCCCAGCGCCTTCAGCACGGCGACCTTCTCCGGACTCATCTTCTCAGGCAGCGTGATGACGACCTTGTACCCCTTGACGGCGCCAACGAGCGCGAGCCCGATGCCCGTGTTGCCGGACGTCGGCTCGATGAGCGTGTCGCCGGGCTTGATGCGGCCGCTCTTCTCGGCGGCCTCGACCATGCGCAGCGCGATGCGGTCTTTGACGCTGCCGCCGGCGTTGAACATCTCGAGTTTGGCGTACACGGTCGCGGCAATGCCGAGGGACTGCGGAATCTTGTTGAGCCGCACGAGGGGCGTGTTGCCGATCTGCTGCGTGATGTTGTCCATGACGACGGGCGGGATGGCGGGGCGTGTTTTGGTAGACATGGCGGTGTTTCTGGCGCAGTTCTCTTCTGCGAGCTCTGTCGCGGGGTGTGGTGTAGTGGAGTGGCGTGAGAACCCTTCTGTACCGTGGCGGCGGGGCACTTGTCAACTTTTCAACCAAGTCCGTCCGTTGGCGCGTAGTCTAGCTCTTGGATTCTGGAGTGTAGGAAGCAAGAAGAGAGGCACAGGTACAAGCCGCCTCAATGTCGCAATCTCTGCCTGTGCAAGCGCAAGCTGTCCAAAACAAAGTCTTTTGACCCTGCGTTCTTGCACTGTGACCCGCCACTAGCCGATCATGATCCACACGCCTCGGTAGCAGCCCGGCTGAGCTAAGCTTCTTCTGGAAACCTGAGCTAACCTGCTTGCAGAACGCCTTCAGCCCTACGGCAAGCACCACCGTGGCACCATCGACGTGGTGTGTACCAAGTCCTCCACGCCGCAATGCCCGTAGGAGATTCAACCAGGACTACTACAAGCTTGTGCGAATTTCACCTGCCCCCACCTCATCTTTCATCTGATACCAGTCCTGCATATCACCACCAAACACCCAACGCTCCCCTAACTGCCGGCATCCGCCCTCCACACCGAACCCAGCTCAAGCCAATCCACTTCCATCCCGCCCAAAAGCCACCCATCCCAGCTCTCCAATATTCCTAGCGGTCCACGCCACAGCCCGTGGTGTTACCGCAGCGGGAAAGGCTGTGTTGCCCGTGCCCTTGCACAGAGACTCCGACTGCAGACCCAGAAGACCAACCTAGAAGCGGCATGGTAAATGCAGACCTAGTCTCGATGCCATCTGCTGTATTTCCCAAAGAAGCATGCAATATGCCGCGCGAAAGCTGCGGAGCTGCGCACGTACCTGTGCTGTGGGCTAGGGGCGTGGTGGATGAATTGTGCCTGTAGTGAGCAGGGGTAGCAGGGATGGTGACGAAGTCCGTCGTTACATACACCACACCCTGTCCTGACGTCGAACCGAACCGACGTGAGAAACGGTGCGCTCCGAGCAATAGTGGTGTGCTGACTCGAGCTCGCACTGCCATTTGCAACCTCACATACCCCATATAAAACCTCGTCTACCTGCACCCACACTCGTATCCCAACTCCACGCATCACACCCCCAAATCCCACTTCCTTCACTACTGACCGCCCTCAAGTACGCCCCAGGTACTTACCGAACCCTCTTTCACCCCACCCCTGCCTGATGCCTGCCATCCCTGTCGTAAGCTGACCCATGCGCCACAGATCCTTACCACGACCCCTACGGGAAGGATGCGGAGGGTGCGGAATGCATCCCAAACCGTCCATCCGATCTGCTTTGCCCTGGCCCGAGCCTTGCGGAGCAACGTGCTCGTGCTGTGAGCGCTGCGTCAAAATGTCCCAAGCACACGGGGTGCGAGATCCCGCCGCACCACACGGGCGAGCGAGGCATTCTAAAATTGCGAGGAGGGGGCCGAGTGCGCTGATTAGCTATGCAGAAACCATACATCTCGCTGCTGCGCCGGTTGAACCTGGGCAGTGTCGATGCTGGACCCAGCTATTCGGCCCGTCTTGAACCATATCTGACCTCCAGTAAAGACATGGCCATAACGAACGGGCCGAATCACTTCGCAAGTCGTGCACGCAGTCCAATAAACCACATAAGAGTAGCCCATCCATGCCCATGAGTCCGAGATGCAAGTAAGCAATCAGCCCTACGCTCAAAGCAGCTCCAGAAGGGGACCTCAGTGGAGCAGCGGCAGGGTTGCTGATTCGTGCTTGTAGGGCTGAAAACTTGGTCCCACCGGTTTGCTCAGCCCTGCGAGGATACCTAATCATCATGGGGCAAACACGCAGAATGGCGCACCGTACGTCTGACGTTGCACTTCATCACCGTCGTGGGGCCCGAGCTGGGGTAGAATATGCGGTGTAATGATCCCAGCGCGGAGGTACTGGTTCTTGTCATCATTCAATTGTAGTATTGGTAGCTCTTGTAGGCGGAGCAATTCTCTTCACCCCGACGTGGCCGTGAGAGGGCTTGATAACGTCTCACCCAGAAAAGACGTGGATCAATCGTCCATCTATCTTCAGGTTGAGAGAAACATACCGTCATCCACTTCCCGCACCCGTGGTAAACAGCGAGTGGGAACGGCAACGATGCTTGAGCGCGGAGCAGAATCCCACGGGACACGGATAAGGCTCATTTGCAGGGCAATTCTCGAACTCTCGGCTCTATCATAGCTGCGCAGCGATCCATTCGTACCAGCTCTTCACATCTACACCGTCCCCGCCAATCACATTGCCGCCCTGCACAGTCACGGTTGTCCCCACTTCCTCCATCTGGGCAAACTCGAAGCTGCCCTCGCCTCCCTCGCCTAGCCACTCCCGGTCCTCATCCAAGCTGTCGTCCTCACCGCCTAAGGCAGGTCCAGAATCCTTCAGTCCCTTCGCCCGGCTCTTCCTGACCTCCGAGATGGCCTTCTCCAGCTGTTGCGCGACAAGGTGCGGTGGCAGCGCCGTAAATAGATCCATCTTGTTCGCAGCTACCAGCACGGGGATCTCCTTAGGCCCCTTGCTGGAGGTAGCCCCTGTATAGCGTTTCTGCAAGGCCAACAAGACGTCGTGCAGGTACTCTGCAGTCTCGTTGAGGCCTGCCTCCTCGGCAACCGCCGCGGCGTCCACGACGAAGATGATGCCGCGGACATTGGTAGGGTTGGCTAGCTGTGTCGTCGCAAAGTGGCGTAGCTTGCCGTGGCCAGGGGTATCATTAAGTTGGAATTGGCGTGAGCGCTCGTACGCTGGGTCGCCCGGCGAGCGGTAGTGTGACGACTGGGGCGTGTGGCCTTCAGGGAGGAGAAGCTCGACGGCCAGGGGCGCGGTGGAAGTATGTGTCTGCGCCACAACCTTGCGTTCCGTCTGCGGTCAAGTCAGTCACGAGGCAAGTGAGGAAGCAACGAAGGGCGCATGGGGGGGCGGTTTCCCACGCAGGCAGAAAGTCGCGGGAAGCATCGCGCGCCCCAAAGCTACGAAGGACGCACCAGAGTCAGGAAGGCGGTCTTGCCCGCGCCGCTGGGGCCAATAAGCAGGAAGGAGGGTAGCGTTGTGGGTGTCGCTTTGCGGTAGATGAACTGGTGCAACAGGATTGGCAGCAGCACGGCGAGCAGGAATGTGATGGCAATGGTCGAGCCCTTCGGCGCAAACGCCGCCGTGGCCCAGCTATCCTCGTCGTACCACGCCATGTGTGACGAGTCGCGCGCGCCTGTGTGCGTCGAGTTGTCCGGTGGCGTGGGGGCGGTTGAGATGACGACAGCGTGTGTTGTGCTTCGAAGGTTTTCGCGAGCGATGACCGGAGTGGCGCTTCCGCGAGCCGGCGGGAGCTAGTCGTAGCTTCCCTTCACCTCACCCTCGCCTACATCACACATCACTGCGGACAACTCGACCATGCTAAGGAGAAGGGCCGCCTGCTCGATTCAAACTACACACGCTTTTGGGCTATATAATCATACATGGACAAGACCACCACCAGTAGCACCTGGTCATCATCCGCCTCTTCTCTCCCTTCCCATCTTGCGCCCGCCGTAAACCGTGACCGTGATCCGTGACCCGTCATTCATACATTCCATGCGCCGCGCCCTGTTCACCGAGCGACGCGACAGACCGCCCACGCCCGATGACGGCGCATAATAAAAAGGGTATGTCCATCCAATGTTTTTGTTACCAATGCTCCATGTGCAGCCCGTGCATACATCCATTCCAGAGATTCCAGGGCCATACGTTGCCGTGATAGATTCCAGCCAGCCTAGCCACCGAAGAAACACCTTTTGCATCCCCTTGGATGCGCAAACCCGGATAAGTGATGAGACATTAAGACAATACGAGACAAGGAGACAGGGATATTGCCAGCTGTTGAAAGGGTCGCTCATGCAGGTCATCATGGTCGTGACGTGACAAGCGCTTGTGCAGGAATAAAAATGCTGGTAAGTGGAAAAGGAACAAATCAAAGTGCCCAGGAATGAGCGGGGTAAAGAGCGAAGCAGACTCTTGAGCGAAGCAGGCGCTGGGATGCGTGCGCATGGAGCTGTTCCTCGCACCATGCGCGCTTCCTTCATGCCTGCCTGCCCTTGATACCATGCCACAAGAGACCGTGTCCGTGCGTAGTTCGGGCCGTGCGAGGGTGCCAATGGCTAAGCTGGGCTTCCCTTCTTTACCCAATCGAATTGGAATACTGTGTCAGAACATGCTGTGTCAGAACATCCTGTTGGAATCGGGGTTGCTGCTGCGTATTGAGAGGGGACCGTGCGGACGGGATCTCCGTGATCAGTTTTGCTACGCTTGGAGCCGACCCCGCCAACAGCGATGACAAATTGGTGCAAGGCACGCTCGCCCATCAGTAGCCTGCGGCATGCGCATGTTGCGCATGTATATCTGGATAATAACCACGGCTCGTCTCCATGCCTTGGAAGCGACCGCATCCTCCGACTTGCCATGAGGAACCCAGACCAGTCGAGACGGGATACTCCTCCTTGATTCTTCTGTCGAGGCTTGGAGGCATTGAAGTTTCGACTTTGGGTTGTAACGCCTCAAAGATTGGAGCTGGGTAGTACTGGTAGTCGTTGTGCGATTGGATCATCTTGCTGTCATCATCTTCTGCCATGTGATGGTCGCCCACAAAATTTTCCACTGGGCCCCCACTGAGCGAACTTGCGGAGCTTACGGAATGGCTGCCCAAAGGGCTCGGATCCAGAGAGTAGGTAGTACCTCTGTACATGCCACTGCCGAGTCCCGATGATCCGCCGCCCGCCAGGCCGTTGCGATAGCCGGTGGTGTATTGAGTGCCGTTGGCACCATACCCATGGGGGCCCTGCCCTGGACCACCACCGCTGCCAGCACCTCGAGAGGCACCCGCATTGTGTGGGCCTTCGTTTGAATAGTGACTCGGTGATCGACCACGGACCACGACCGGATGAGAAGCCCGCGCAGCCACTTTCACCCAGCGAGCCTCGTTATCCCGGTGACTTTGTACGTTTGCCCAGAGCTCGACAATCAGGTGGAAGTATTGTTGTTGCGCTCGACGCTTGCCGTTATTAGCAGTAGCTGACTTGAACTGTATGCGTTCGAAACCGTGCTGATAGCTGTTTTGCGCATGGCTGGTGGGCGAGTACGCCTGGGAGGAATCCGATTCATTTTGAAGAGGGAGTAGAAAGCCAGGCGATTGACTGGACGGGTGGAATGTGCTGAGACCATAGCTACCGTGCTCGTGGTTTTTCCCAGGGGGCATTGGTGAGAGCAGCTCCTTCTTCATCTGCAATTGTGGTCCCTTATCACGTTTGGGCGTATGTTGGATCAGTTCAATGGTCTTTCCACCAGAACCGTCCACCGCTGCGGCCAACGATACAGCCATGGACTGCACTTGTTCCTGGGGCTTGCCTCCGCCCTGGTCCAGGTAAAGACGGCCGTTGTTCACCCATGGATGTAGGTTGTAGTGGACGTTCACGGCAAAGTAGTTCCTTCTGTAGCAGGTCCAGACGCTATCACCGGACAAGAAGAACCCTTTCTCGATCTTTGCGTCAATACTTGGTGTGATCTTGGACCCATCGCAGATGAGGTTGCAGTAATCCTCTTGGGTGTTGAAGGGAGGGCTTCCCTCGCTGCGGTCGCCCTGAGATCCGTAGCCACTCATAGGTAAGCTGGAATATGACGTGTTCAAAGGCATGGTGGCAGCAACAACGCTCCTGGGTGTCTCAGGAAGAGAACCGTAACGGGAACCGTCGGAATGGCGAGGTGAGAGTGCGTGTGGGTGTCGAGACAAGCCTGGTGTAGATGTAGTATAATTATCCCTGGCCGACGCACCCATGGACGGTGACACGGGGTTACCCATCCCTGGTGATCGTGCTGGAGGCAGCATAACCGATGGTGAAGGCTCAGTCCTACCGTGTTGTTGTCAGCTGTCATGCAATGCGGTTAGGGTTTTACATGTACAAGGGCGCCACAAACGGCTACCTACATCATGGATGTCCGTCGAGTCGACGACATAGTGGCGTAGTACCCAGTATTATAGTTTGCTATGGGAAGTGGGTTGTGAAAATAGCTGGAAGAGGCGCCGAGAGATGTGTAGGCTAGCTGCGAGGATGAGTTGGAGCTGGGTGAGGCAGAGATAGAGCCTGATCCTGTGTCGGAAAGAGCCGCACTAGATTGATACCTTTGAGCAGAGTTAGTCAACCCAACAAAACAACGTTATCGGGGCAAAATGATGCCAACGATAGTGATGTGTAACCGTCGAGTAGGTGGTACGGTGTAAAATGGCAACCAGGGCAGGGACGATGTGGGCATCGCCGCTAGCCTTGTCGTGTGATCAATGTGACAGACCAGCGCGCTGGAAGAGCTAGGTGCACCATGTGTCTGGGACGTGTGCGACAAGAGGCATGACGAAGACGTGTTTGTTTCGGCGGTCGTGGAAGGCAGAGCTTGGGCAGCACCAGCGAAGAGGTGTCGAGGCACGCATGGACTGGGGGCCGCAGGACAAGGCAACACTGCGGAGCCCGGCATGCCGACCGGGACGAGAAGAGCCAATGAGATGGGATACTTACGGGGCTTCGGGACGATGAGAGGTGTATCTCCCTGAAATGGAGCTCAGCGGAATGCCAGTCGCTGACTGGCCCAGTGTGCTATCGCGCCTGAGCTGATCGGAAACGCCAGCGGTGAAGGGACTATGATGTGCATGAGCACCAATGTGATCTATGCATTCTTGCTCCGAAGAGAAGGGGTTTTCCGATGCCAATGGCAGAGACGGTGGAAGGACTGCTTAGTTCGCGGGTCAGCCAATCAAGGAGCGACAAGCAGTCTGTCGTTGTGCAAGGTGTAGGACAGAAACGGACAACGTGCACCCGGCGACGATATGAGTGCACGCGTGGGACGCGGTCGCACAAGGCTCCGCGATCGGGTGCAGAGTGCGAGAGTGCCACTACAGCAGCGGGTAGAAGGCGAGAACAGTGGACCCACAGTGTGTAGCGGTAAACAGAAGGGGAAGGAAAACAGGATGCAGGCTCGCGGACCAATATAAGAAAGGGGTGGCAGAATGTGGAATTTGTGGAAGAATGCGGAGAACGGCGCCGGTCTATGGGAAGGCCGTGTGTGTGGGTGGGCCGCGCGTGAAAACGACTGAGGCTTTTGCTTCTCGCCGAACAGGGAGCGCGATGTGTATGTTTAAGGCTGACTTACCTTGGTTCATATTGCAGACGCAGCCGCACCAGCAGCGCTCCTAAGACGCCCGATCTGGGCCTGATGGTCGCTGCGACTCCTTCACGAGGCCGCCGGGGGGGAAGCGAATCTCACGACTCAGCTCCTTCGCTGCTTGCGCGATCCAACGCGCTGGGACCGCAGACAACGGCGTCGGCTGTGGCGAGCCTCCTAGTCGCTGACGGCGCTTATGTTGCTGGTGTTGTGGGCCGGCGAGCTCGTTGCGGGACGGCTGCGAGTGAGGCGTGGGCAGATGTGACGGCGGCGGTGCAGTTCCTCGTTCTGGCTGCGAGACGAGCTCTACGAGCGTTCGACTGCCGTTGTTGGTTCGCTTGAAAGGGAGATCCGGGGGTTTAGCCGGTACTGTACAGGGCCAGGCACAGCAACAGGGGGCGGGTGTGGGATCCTCGACTAGCTGCCGCTGCCTGCGATGGATGGTGGCTGCCGAATCCGTCGAGCGCTCAATGCTTGACGAGTATGCTGAGTGCTCGTATGCCGCGCAAGCTCCACACTGCACGCCTTGACCAGCAGCGCGGGTCGTTTGCTTTGGCCTTATCTCACCGACTCGTCGACTCGACGAGATGCTGCCTGGCTTAGTCACGAGGCTGGCGCAGGGGGGTGACGGGATATGACAGAACAAAAGACCTGTCTGCTTGAAGCTCAGGTAGGCGTGGGGACGGCTGGCTGGCGGCCCTTAAGCGTCAACGCTCTCGAGGCGACACCTCAGGCCGTCAGGTGGGCTTTGCTTCTTCCCGTCTCCACAGATCTCAAATTGCGCGATGCGGGCGCACAGACAAGCACTGATCTGTTAGCCGACCCCGGTTCCTGGCGGCTGCGACGTCGGTCGTGAGATGGCGGCTGCTGTCGAGACTTTGCTGTGACCTGTCAGTCTTTGGTCTGCCGCAATCTGGTTGAAACTTGCAAGGTTGTTCCTGCAGCTGCCCAAAAAGAACGCTGTGGCGCCGACTCAAGGCGAGCGTGGCTGTTTCGGCGAGCGCGCAGCCTTGTCACTTGTCGTCGAGTCCTTAGCGATCTGCGCGAAGGCCGGGTGCGCGGATATGCTTATCGACGTCGTCTATGTGCACTGGCGCCGTGGTGTAGCAGACACGGTGCCGCGCGTCCAGGGCTCGGTGGGCTGGAGTGAGACGAACAAAACTTATGGAGAGGAAGCAAAGAAGGAGGCGTGCAGCAGACGGCGTGCAGAGTACCCTCGAGAGCGAGATGAGGACTGAGATATATGCACTTTGCGTTTTGCTCCCAAACGGCTTAACGGCTTCCTGCTCGTAGTCTGGTAGCACAAAGCCGCCAGGACCAGAAAATCCCGTGATCTTTGTTCTTGAAGATTGCTTGGTAGGGGCCCGGGGCCCAGTAGAAAAAAGCAATAGAGGCAGGCTGACAGGTAGGGGTGGGGAAGCCACGGACGGGGAATAGATGACGGCGGAGATTTTATCTGGGAGGCGAGAGACGAAGCAGGACAGACGGGCCAGTACAAGTACAGGCTCGTGGAGGGCTAGAGCACTCAGGGCTATAGATTGATACAGGATAGACAGGGGAGCTGGGGTTTGGGATATGTTGATCGGGTTGTTTGGCTGAAAGAAGAAGTGCCTACCAAGCTGGTAGCTTCAACGCATCTCTCGCGGTGATGGATCAAGATTCAGCCCCCCTACGGGATGATGCGAATCGCGCGGCTCAGACCGGTGCCGTTCTCTAGCACCACGGTAGCATTGGCAAGCTGCAGCCGCGACCATGTCCCAAAGGGGCGTATCTATATCTCCGATGTCAGGGAGAGCAGATTTGCCCCAGGGCCCGGGCTCGCATCTTTCTCGAAAGGTCGGCGGCCCACGCAGCGCGCAGCATTCCTTGCACCAGCGCCCGCGGCGCGTGAGGGCAGCGGGAGCGGGCGTGCAGCGCGGTGCGAGGATTGGCTCGCCTGGGCCGTCACTCTCCCGTGCAGCGACGCAGGAACATTGGCCACGACACGACGCTCCATGGGGCGACTCGACACGGCAGCACCATCCAGCAGCCTGGGTCCGCGATGTTTCATCTGGGCAGCACCCATGCAGCGAACAGATGATGTCGCGGCGGGCGGCGCTAGCGGGGACGGCGCTGTTCGGCGCGGCGAGCGAGGGTGGGTGGGCTGCGGGCCGTGGCGGCGGCTAGTGGATGCCATACGTCTGCTGCGGTGGATGCTGGCAGAGGGTCCAGACATCCGTCGGCGGTGCCTTGCTGGCTGGGCCGGGGTCGTCGTCCTCGCCGCCGTGGACACTGGAGTCGAGCAGCGAGCAGCGGGCTGGTCGCGGTGCCCGGGCCCGTGGGCATCACCTGCCGCGGCGCGCCAGATGCAACCCTCGCCCTCGCCTGGAGGTTCGAGTTAGAGCGCTGCGCCAGGGTGCAGCGCCCCAGCATTGGCGGGCCCGGCAGGCTGGCTCACTGCGCAACGCTCCGAAAGCAGCGCGCGGTGGTGTGCGGGCAGCCAGTGGAAGCGGCCTGCGCGGCGGGGGCGTGACCGGCTGCGAGGAGCGCGGCGGGCGGCAGCCCTCGCAGCGAATGGGCGCGGGCTGCGCGAACGGTGAGGACGAAAAGCGAGCCCTTGGCCGCGCCCTTGCGTCTGCGCTGGCTCTCCCAGGCGGCAGCCGCGAGCGACGGGGCGGGGGTGCGTTGCGCGCTGGAAGGAGCGACTGGTGACGTGCAGCCAGCGGTTGCTCCTTCCCGCGCCATCCCCATGCGGCCAAGCGCCCCGCTACGCCGCCCGCTCACTCCATCGCCCGCCGCGCTCAACACCACGGCTTGGGCGAACGCGCCCGCTCCTTGCTTCTCGACACGCGCAGACGTGCCCTTGCCGTCCCAGGCCGCCTGCCTCATGTGTCTCGCACGTTGCGGCTGCCCGCTGCCCAGCGCCCGGGGCGCCCTGAGCCTGACCGCTACATGCACCGGCGACGACCTCTCTCTTCCGCTAATCTACCTGCATTGCATTCCTTGCCTCGTCCCAGATGCGCTGCTGCGCCGCCGGCCAATCGCCAGAGCCCTCTCCAAGGCTGGCGGCAGACCGCTCTCCTCCATGCCAGCAGTCATCTGATCACCCCAGAAACAGCATGCGAGAGCAGCCCCGAGCAGGGCTGCCGCTGTCTCCCGGTGCCTCGCGCCCGCTAGCAGCGCCCCCGGCACTTGCCAGCCCTTTCACCGCGTCCATCGCGAGCGCGCACGACAGCCCGTTGGACCAGATGAGATGGTGGCTGCGCGGGTGTGCTGAACATCACAGCCCCTTCCAGCTCAACCAGCCCACCCCAGGTCACAAGATGCGATGCTTCTCTGCACGGAATCCGGCTTCGAGGCACACCGGCCTGCAGCCTCCCGTCCATCCCGTGACGCTCACCGCGGGCGTCCAAACAAATTCGACCCTGCGCAAGCTTCATGGCCGCCTGCAGCAGCCTCAATGTACTTCGGAAAGGTTAGGGACCGCAACTGCGCAGAACTACCTGTCTCAGCCGGCGACAAATGGCTCCATGGGGCGGTATCGCATAGACGCTGTCGCACGCCCTGCTTCGGCCACCGCAGATGTCCAGTTACACCAGCTCCACTCATTCCAGCCCCCGAGACCAGACACCAGTGAGCCCTCAAGACCGGCTGACGTGATGTTGTGGTCATTCTTCGAGAGCAATGTCTGCCAGCAGCGGTACGGCCCGTATCTGAGAGACTGAGCTCATTGCAGAGTGTCCCCAAACACAAGTTCGGCTCTCCGTTTCTTGTCAGGGACGACTTGACGTCGACCAGTGGCTGGAAGCTACCTCTGCTCTTCTGTCCCAGCCTCTGGTTTTGTCTCGGGCAATTACTCCTTCAGTCCAGGTTCATCTCTGCACGCACCCTTAGAACCGGCCTCCGTCAGATTGCCCCTATCGGTCAGTGCTGGTGGTAAGTGACCCGACGCGATGGATATGCCCAGGTCGATCAAACATAGTCGATATGACTCTCGAGTCCTATCTCCCCACTCTCGAGGCATACGAGTTGATAGACTATTGATCACTCGATTACTCGCGCCATCGAACAGCACTACTGCTGCCAAACATCGGTGGCGGCTGTCAGCTGGCGATCATACCAGCACAGCTAGTTCGCTTCATGAACTTCTAACCCAAAGCCATCGTTACCAGCTTTTTTTGGGGGGGTCGATTGACGTGCTTTGGAGACAATGGGAGAACACTGACCAGCGTGGGCGCCGCGCAAGCCTCCTGCACGGCCTGCCATTTGCGACATATGTACTCGCACAGACGATTTGGTGAGACTGTTGAATTATCTACCCCACACTAAAGCAGTGGAAGGCCTACATATCGATTGAATCGATAGATGCTTAGCTCGACAGCACTGGTCAGTATATCATCCGAGGCGCCCCGACAGATGTCCACGTAGGCTTGAGCCCTTGCCTCGGAGCATTGGGCTTTCACCGCGCGCCTCTGAGCATCTGAGGCGAAGTGTGTGGTCTCTTCGAAGAACCTGATTTTCTCTTCCTCTATTTGCCAAGTCCGATAACGAAATGACGGTGTAGTACGGCGCGGGCGATGACATCCGAGGATATTTTGCACAAATTAGTTCGTCACGCAGCTTGTACCACGGATCGCCCAGCAACTATGCCAGGCATCACGCTACCCACTCCCCTAACCTAACAAAGGAGGTAGCGAACGTTTGGACATTCTTTGTTCATGCGCTCCGCTCTCACAAGACGCCTTTATCGGTACCGCAGGTACTCGGCGTGGACTTTGCCTTCTCTGTCGCACTCTCCGAAACTTTCGGCGAGAGCTTCTTCTCTAATGTGCGGCTCGCTTGTTCGAGGCTCGCTCGTGTGCTGGACTTCGCGTGCAACTCCACTTGCAACTCCACTTATGCAAATCGCCCATCGGCTGTGCATTCGGCGGTCTCCCGGGCACACCGTACACAATGCTGGCGCCGTAGAACCAGCGGCCCCTCTGATCAGGTTATGAACGATTGGTCCGTGCGATCACAGAAGACGCAAACTTCGAAGAAATCCACAACCCAAGTCCCCGCTGTTTGGTTCTGGTCAAGCAGGTTACAAGTCTGTTTCAGGCGCAAAACGGAGCAACATTCCTAGAACGGAACTGTGCCCAAACTCTCTAGTGCTTCCTCGCCGGGTGTACAGCACGAGCGTCGTCACAAGTTGCGCCCATCGCCTATTAGAATGGCACAAACCTGCAGGACATAATCCGGGGACAGGCAATCAACAACGCCACAGTTCCGCAACATGCATGTGCCTCATTGATTCGAAGCGCCTTTATAGTTTGCCTCTGTCGGCAAGCGTATGGTTAACGGCAGGACCTGAATGTCGACATTGTCTGTCAAGACCAATGTTCATCACCTTCCGCAACTCATTCCACTCGGCGTCCAATTATTTGCTGTATCAACGACATATGAGTGTGTACGCTATGACTGCCCCTGAGCGCTGCATAATATTTGTGGTTTGTGTCAGCTGGGCACAGCAGCCTGCGCTAGAGCAAGGCTGTGGTGAGCAGTTATGGTTTACTCTTGCGTTCGCGGAGCGAACCACTATGCCTACCCAAGATAGACTCACAACACTGTTGCTGACGCCCATTAGGTGATTACTACCACATGAGCATACTTTGGCGCCCCGTCTGGTGGCCAGTTCACAACACGATGTCCTAACCAACGATTAGTTGGCGGCTTCATTCAAGCTTGTTTGAATAGCATTGCTCGGAAGACGATCCGCCCCTGGATATCGCACGTAAATGCCAATTAAACGCCAGACTGACGCAATCTCTTTATCCTTCTCGGTTCTTGATGTTCCTGGTTTTGAAGGCGTCCTGGAGGGCCTGATACGGTTTGGGCCTCTCCACGGTGAACCTCTCTACCCATCGCCCCACGGCATCTTCCATATTGCTTTTCAGGCTCGGCACTTACCGCGAACCTGCATTACTGACTATGACACACCGATCAGCAGCAAAATCCACTTACTCACCCAGAGCCCCAACGTCAGAGCGCACATCCTGTCTACCCCCGCCGGCCATGACACGACCACGCGCTGATCAATACGAGCCCCGAGTCCCAACACTACAACATGACAGCATGAAGCTGGCTCCCTCGTAGCACCGCCTAGAAGCTTCTCCCAGCGCCTCACTCCGATCTGGTGAGCTGGATGGCTGACGCGCACAGCTGCCGGTCGTTACCCTAGGCGGTGTTGTGTCCTGCATCCTCTTAGTGCCGTCCGGTGCAGCTGCAGGGTCGCAAATCATAATGTATGTCGGGCGGCTATGGCGCTGGCTGTCCTGTCGAACCTGACGCCCCGGAGAAACGAGTGATGGGCACAGAGGTCCGGGCGGTGGTGCGCTTGGGCTGTTTGGGTAGGTCTTTAGAAGTGTGAGGGGGGGGCAGTGGAGAAGAGGCCGGGGCGTGGTGAGGAAGGGGGTTCCGGGGTTTGAGGGGGCCTCGGGGTGGAGGGATCGATGCTGCATGTAGGTCTTCTTCGCTGCTGAGGGCAGTCGTTGTTCATGAGGATGGGTGTGTGAGTGAATGTAGCTAAAGTAGACGATAGTATCGCTTTTGGGTTAGTCCAGTGCAACCGCTTCCCTGGCCGCCGTGTGTAGTCGCCCCTCGCCGCGTGCGATGTTTGGTAGATGGAGGCGTGGACATGCTAGACGATGTTATGGTAGCAAGTCTCCACGACGACATGGTGGCAAACCTTCACAATGAAGTTTCAACTGCCACTATGGGTAGTGGCCCTTTCCTTCCAGCCGGAAGAGCTCAAACATAAACAGCGCGGGCCTTGACTAGCCTAGCTATCTGCTCCCTCTGTCTCGCTGCAACAGGGCACTGTTCGGTAATGATTCCCTCCCATTAACTTATTCATTGCGCACACTTGTTCCTCCCTCCGTTCCCACTGCACTTTCCATCCCTCTAAGCCCCGACTCTCCCTCCTACTCACCCACCGAGACGTCTTTGCTCCGCATCCTATCCGCCACCTTCCTTCCTCATCGCTTCTCCTCTCACAAAGCACACTGCGGCATAGACCGAACCCCTATTGCGCCGTCTCCGCGTCAGCCAAACCTCCGCACAGGAAGCAAAAGCTGTGACTGAAGGCGGTCTCGTGTACGAGCGATTAGAACCGCACCGTAAATGACTGACATTACACTTGGACATGGGACGACGACGACAGTGTTTAGAATCCTGGTGTGCGTTCATGGACATGTACTGTGGGGAGAAGGTATACCTGAAGGTATAGACAGGTGGGAGAGGAGGTGGAGGTTCGGCAGACACGGGTTTTGGATGCGTAAGTACGAGGAGGTTGGGATGAGGCGTATAGAGGGTCTGGTAGCATGTATTTCTAGAAGCACAGAGGCATACAAATAGACAGAGAGACGCCAAAGAGTAAAGAGATGCAGGTGGGTGAGGGAGTCGGGAGTGGTATATTTTGACGTTCGAGAGGGAAGGCAAGGCCATTCCAGAGTATAGAAGGGAGGGGGGAAGTGCAGAGAGTACGGTATAGCCGTGTAGACTCTGGCAGGGACGATAGAGGTTGTAATGGGGGGATAGCGACGACCATAAAGCCGAGCCGGACAGCGATATCGGTCGCTTCCAGTAATATGGGCGAGTTCCGGCACAGGGTGGCCGTTGTATAACTGATTCATTGAGACGCTGTCTTGTGGTGTTTCTCTTTCATATCAGAGTCCAACAGTGATAACCAAAAATCCATTTCAGGGTAACTTCAGGAATAGCAACCAAACCTGGAGTTATCCCTGTGAATACGACAATTTGAACTGGGCTGAACTTCAATACATCACCAAATGTGAAAGTACTGTGTGGAAGAACCATCTAAAATTAGTAATATGACAGTCTTGTTCCCATGCGAGAGGTTGACATCCCACTCGCATAATGCCAAGTGAGGCATCCCGCCCAGCCTTGATGATCACCGGTCATCCATACTCAGCCCCATCCAGATCGCATTTGACGAAACTGTGGCAGTGCACTACCGCGCCACATCCCGCATGAAACATACCCAAGGTTGATAGGCATCAGTCTGCGCCTTTCAAATGGAGAATTCACTTCGAGGACGACATAACGCAGCACGCAGCACGCATTCCCTATAGCCCAAACCACGAACATGGCCGACCAAAAGTCTTTTGCAACAACTTCCACAGACGCTGTCTCGCTCGAGAAGCCAGTGTCCACTTCATCCTCGGCTACCACCACCACAACGACCTCGATCCCCTCGAAACGGTGCCAGCCCTCCTGTCGCGATGAACTTCACCTCAGCTCCAGAAAGCCTGAAGAGCCTGGGAAGGAAACATGGCGCGATGCAAGCCTCAGCGATGAGCAGCGCTGGAAGGAGTGGAATAAGGCTAAGGACAGGGAGCAGAAGCGCAAGTAAGTCACCTCGGCAAGGTCTCAGGAGGTTCAAATTGAAGAGGAGATAGTGTGCTGACGGCGATGAAGCGGCGCGACAGGTGCATATACACAGTTTTATAGAGGGAAGGGGCCTGGAAAGTGGATATACTGGCTGGCGTAGGGGTATTAGAGGATTGATGCTGCGAGAATTACTTACGAGGCGTTGTGGTGTGGGATGCACACCATTTCTTTTTGCTTGACTGGAATGCATGAGAATCATTGGAGCACTTGATATCATACTCGGGTCGTTTGAGAATTTGAGCTTTTTGAAATCATTGGTTCTCTTTTTTTGGCACCCCACAAAGTTCCTGACCAGTCTATGGGCTACGAAATCCCGAAGAGTCAGAGGCCGATTAACATTTTGGATTGTGAGATGCAATTGGAATGAGTTGAGGCGCTATCCCCACGCTATGAATTAGAACCTAACCTGATCTATCCAGATGACCCTTCCACTACTCGTCAAAGCAGTCTTGAGGCATTAAGAGCAACCCTCTACTTGATCAAAACTTTTCAAAAACTAAATATATGAGATAGCTTACCTCTATGACAGAACCGTTAGACGATTCGCTTAGTTCGCGCCGGAAGACATGAGTGTGTTAGCTAGGGATAGCGGCGAAGTAGCTTTGAGGGATCTTTGGAATGAATTAACAGTAACAGGACACTGATTGGGCTTGTTACAAAGAATTTGATCTATCATTACATGGAACGAGTTAGACACCTCTACACTTAGATTAGGGGTATATTTGTTGCTGATAGAGAGCTAGCATAGCGGGATTCGTACGAGCTCCAGTTCCTATGTGTTACCATGTTAGAGTTTGATTGTACAGCACAATTTTATGTATGCGATCTTCGTTACAATGTCCCCTCCTTACTTCTTACAAAAGCATAAGATCCAAGCTGAAGCAGACAGGATATGTCAAGGTTCGAATGAGAATTCAAGCTCTGCTAGGTTGGTGTGCGTCGATCATAGTCCCAAACCATATGCAGATTCTCTGCCCTTTCGTTATATTCTTTCTCATCTCGCTTGCGCAGGCTCTAACAGGCGCTTTTTTTTAAACTAATCACGCATTGACGCAACCTAGAGTGTATTTCGAACGGAGCAGCGGCCGAAGTTTTCTCCTCAGGCTTACCGCTAGTTACGGTCAGATAGCTACCCACCATGGCGAAACTCAGCGTTGAGGGGCAGTACGAGTACCTGCGCAGTTGTGCAGCCGCTACAGACTTTGTCATCAACAGCAAGAAGTCTCCCAAGGCCGAGTTTACTCGTCTGGCTTTGCATCACTTGGGTTGGGCTCCCGCTGGCGACGAATGGTGCAAAAATTGGAAGATGTGCTTTGACGAAGAATACGTCTGGCGCGGTCGTAGTAAGAGTGGTAATACCCTCTTGTAGCTAACGAGATATTGACGCCGATCAATAGCAACCAATAACGCCCTATCTATAACGCCACGCGAGCCTTCGCCCTCTCCCAGCCTAAACTCCCAAAGTTCAGGTTCCTCAACCTTGAGCTCGAACTCTTCGGATAGAGAATCTTCGGGCGTCGTGTCCTCCAGCAGGGACAGCCCGGTACCGCCGAATGAATATCGCCGTCCTGGTCGCACCCTTGAAACGTGGCAAAAGCTTTGTGTTGAAGTTGGTGCCCCAATCTCGACTACCAGCAAAGGTTGCAAGCAGGTCAGTGTTTTCTTTCATTAAGTGCTGTCGCCATACACTAAATATCAGGAGGCCCTCATAGAGGGTGTTGCGCAGCACTTCGATGAGACCTATGGGACCAATTACAAGGACCTCGAGGCATGGCAGCATTTCTGTGCTGATGTTGGGATTGAACCAATCCCAGAGTCTATCAAAAAGTGCAAGAAGGTTAGCATTGTGCGGCAAAGACCTTAAGAAATGCTCTTACAACGGTTTAGGCACTTAAGAAAGTCTTCATCAACATCTTCGACTTCATCGCCGTCCAGAAAAGGTTGAAACCAGCGCCACCACGTCGGTTCAGGGCCGTCCATGAACTAGCGCATTATTCCATCGAGAGTATAAAGATCTACCCACTGGAATTGGCGAAGAAAGAGACGTTCCACCGTGCTCTGCTTCAAGTGCTCTTCTGAGACAAATCAAAGATCAAGAAGATGGCCTTGAGTAGAAATCAAACCAGTTGAACAGTATCGTTTTGCAAAATAAATTGCCATTGGTCGGATGATCGTATTTGGCTATGAAAGTCTAGCTAGCAGCGCGAAGGAATCATTTACTCTTGGTGGCTCTCGGCACTCGCTTGGATATGAAATGACGTGAATGTCGTGAGTACGGCGCCGGAACCGAAATCGAATGGCGCATCCTCATCTAAGGATGTTGGGATCACCGTTTATACTTAGCTTTGGAATAGTCGTCAGCTGTTGATCAATAGAAAACTTGTCGACCAGTACACTATTGCTGTATGTTTCATCTTAAGGCGTCATGACTGAGACATCTATTAAAACCCATAGAAATCATCTAGAAATATCACACTGAATCTGTCTACTCTAGCGAGCAATCCAAACATCAATTCGGCGCAGCCATAATCAACTCTCCGATCCTCCCCGTCGCCGCCCCGTCCAGAAATTCCAGCGCCTTATAGACCTTCTCTCCCCCTTCCTCCATCCACAGCCACCAAATCAAATCATTTTCCACGGGTTTCTCCGCCCCAAACGGCTTCATGAAATAACTCGCTCGCACAATGCACATTCTCCTCGTCTCATCTACAACAATGTCTGTGATGCGTGCTTCCCAGGTATCCATTTTGGGCACCATCTTGTTGAGGTGAGCAAGGTACGCGTCGATGCCGAGTTCGCCCTGGAGCATGGGCATGGGGCTGGTAGATACCATGTGGTTGTGGCCGAAGGAGTGCGTGAAGTTGGGGGTACGGATGGCGCGGACACGGTCGAGGTTCATGCGTGTTGGTTGGGAGTCGTCGCGGTCTTGGCAGCGGATTAATTCCGTGGCGGTTGAAAAAAGGGTTTTGTAGAGTTGTGAGGCATTATCTGGGACTTTTGGAGTGTTGGTCGCCATTGCGGTGGTGTTGGGGTGATTTCCGGCCTTGATGGCGAAGCGGTTATCAAGTGGAGAACGACTTTGCTTTGCAAAAACTCTTGTTGAATTCTGACTGTAGTGATTGTGAAGGAATTCAGGGTTCGAAGTGTGGAGGAACGGCTCCCAGAGTTCTAACATTGTTCTTATATGTTGAATGTTTCGCATTTCGGATACGGCCACCAGAGCGGATCAGTCGTGTCGCCGTACATTCCGACCGAATCGGCGTGCCGCCTATGGCGACCATTTTAGCGCGACCCTGAATGGTGACATTCTCGCGGTGCAGATGCAGTTCTTTGTAATGGTCTTGGCATCTGTTTCCGATATGCATATGCAACTGTAGGAACATGACATCGAGACATGAAGTTCAAAGTCGTTCACAGAAGGAACCTTCTCCTCTCTTTCGTTCAGAAGCTGTTTTAGAACATCAGCATCGCCTCACTGAAGTGAATGAGCCGACGTGGAAGGTGTGTCAAAATTACCAAGGCAAATGTATACGGTGCTTGCGGTACTCGCTCTCTCGGTGTACTCACACTAATGGCATCAATGTTCTGAGCCGGAGAACGTTTGTAGGCTGAGTAAGACCAGGAAATAGACTACTTGTAGTACTTCGGTGCTTCGCGAACTTTCGACTCACTGTCGGCTTTGCTTGGCTCAACACATTCACGACCCTACTATAGGTATTCTCTAATGCTTCCTCGTGTTATCCTGACATCTTAGCACACGCCGTTTTCTTCCCGTTATAATTCGAATGGATTTAAATACGTAAGAATGGAGAAGGGAGGCAAGTTTAGCGCTATTCCTAAGAACTCAACTCTGATGCGCTATACATCTCTGAGTAGTAGGCTTTATGAAACGCGCGACTTGACTCGAAACAACTTGGATAGAAAGTCAGATGACGAACTTCTTTTGGAAACTGGGGCTAATAAATCCGAATGAAATCACCAAGATCAGTCTAGAGAAAAGTGGTCTTGGGGACCTTGCGAGAGTGAACGATATGGTACCTAGGTATCTTGTGATCGAAATGACCTTGCCTCGTCTTGGTCACCCTCTATTCTACCTTGGCCGCGAACAATTCCTTATACTTCTTCCTAGTGTAGTATCGTCTGCTCAGTGAAATGACGTACCGGTGGGCCATCGTTGCATGCTGTTATTCTTGATCTGGAAGCGCCGAGGTACCGGTTGTATGTCTCCACACTTTAACCCTGCCCCGCAAAACGTTTTGCAACAATATTCCTCCAATATCGGCAGCCAAGGTTGTCCCCGCAGACTAAAACTGGTCATTCGCGAAACTGTTGTGCATATTAGCCGAACAAATTAGCCAATCACCGCGACTCATGTAACAACCGGGCATCGGCATATTCGATGAATCGGGCTTTTGCGCGGCACTTATCGATCAAATAGTGGCGATGCTCCATATGGGGTAGTTTATTGTCGCGTGAATGATGACAAGGGCCTCAAATGTCCGTCAATCAATCCCAGGAATACCAGACTCACTGGTGCTGAGATCCGGGATTCACATTCTATTCTAGATTAGCCCATGAACAGCGTTTGGGATAAGTTATGTATAAGAGGCAGATCAAACCTGCTCAAATTGAGGATGTGGAAAGTAGGCCTTCGTGCTTTTTTGACAAAATGCGTTCCTTTTCCTTGCTCATTGCTGCTGCGGCGGCGCTTCCTGCGGCATTAGCAGCTGCTCTCCCTTCTCTCTCGGAGCGTGCTCTCAACACACCATTCGTAGCCAATAAGCAATGGATCCAGGACTCGACAGGGAAGAACTTCACCTATGTTGGTGTCAACTGGCCGGGGGCGGCCGATGTGATGATTCCGGAGGGTCTGCAGTACGCCTCAATCGCATCGATCGTGTCTAAGGTGAAGAGCCTTAAGATGAATGTCGTGCGGTTGACCTTCGCGATCGAGATGATCGACAATATCAAGGACAACGGAGGCGACGTTACTATTCAGAACGCATTCAACAAAGCTCTCGGCACCACCAACGGCCCAAAGGTGTACCAGCAGGTCATCAAGAACAACCCACAGTTCAACGAGAAGACCACCAGACTCCAGGTAAGTAGAGACTTCTAGGAACTCCACCCTCTTTATGAGCTAACGAACTGTGTAGGTTTTCGATGCTGTCGCCGCCGAGCTAAACAAGCAAGGCATCTACGTTCATTTGGACAACCACATGTCGAAAGGCGCGTGGTGCTGTGGTAGCGGAGACGGAAACACATGGTTTGGAGACACCTACTTCAACGTCAACAACTGGAAGCGTGGTTTGCAGTATATGGCGGAGCATGTGAGCTACACAGTCCCGATATTGGAAACAAGTGCTGATAATGAAACCAGGGCAAGTCATGGCCGAACCTAGTTTCCATCGGTCTTCGGAATGAACTCAGAAGCGGAGCCACCAATGGTCTTCCTTACAATTGGGCAACCTGGTATGACCAGGTAATCCCCGCTATGGACCTCGTGAACAAGGCAAATCCAAACATTCTCATCTTCCTTTCTGGCCTTGACTACGACACCAAGTTGGAGCCCATCGCTACCGGCGCTGATCTTGGCAGCGGTAAGAAATTTTTGCTGTCAGACTTCAAGTACGCCAACAAGTTGGTACTCGAGCTGCACAACTATCAAAACGATGCCACAGACTGTGGAAGTATAGAGAGCGGCCTATGGAACAATGGATTCAGGGCTACCGGCACTAAAGCAGCAAACATTATGCCCGTTGTGCTTACTGAATTCGGGTTCTCTCAAGCGGGCAATGACTACACAAAGACGTATGCGACCTGTATCAAGAAGCTCATGCCGCAGTGGAAGACGGGATGGACTGTTTGGGTCCTCTCGGGCAGCTACTACATCCGTAGCGGGACCCAGGACTATGAAGAGACTTGGGGACTGCTTAACCACGACTGGTCAGCGTGGCGAAACACTGCCGCAATAAGCGCGCTCCAGGGAATGATCGACGCGTCGCTGACGGGTTAGACCACTTCCTACTTCAATTCCCGTAGACAATGACATTGTTCTAATGATGGGGTGTGTTGGTTTGGTGAAGTGACTGTTTAGCGAAGCGGCGCAGCTGAGGTGTCGCTCTAAGCTATTGCTTAACGTGTTTTACAAGCGAGCGGCGCGTACAAGCGAGCGGCGCACCCCACCAACTTTACGCACCTATCTCATCTTAACCTACAATGGCTCCACACAACAATGCTCAATTACCTTCAAATGAAGCAGATATTCAGCTTGCTATCTTATCTATCAATACAAAACAGATTCAAGGCAATCGACCTGCTGCTGCAGTCTACAATGTACCCGAAACAACGCTCCGCCGCCGACGCGCTGGGAAGCCTGCCCGACGCGATTGCCAGCCCAACTCAAAGAAGCTCACTGAGCTAGAAGAGGAGGTGATTGTTAGATATATACTTGACCTGGATCAACGTGGATTTGCGCCTACGTACGCGGCTGTACGCGATATGGCTGATAAACTGCTGGCTGCGCGCGGCGCTGGTCAGGTCGGCGTCCACTGGCCGCGCAACTTTGTCAAGCGCACGGATAGTCTCACAACGCGTTTCAATCGAGCCTATGATAGGCAGAGAGCCCTGTGTGAGGATCCGATATTAATCAGAAGCTGGTTTGAGCTCGTAGAGCAGACAAAGACCAAGTACGGCATCTGCGATGACGATGTCTATAACTTCGACGAGGCTGGCTTTATGATGGGCAAGATTATGACTCAACTCGTTGTAACAGGATCAGAGCGGAGAGGCAGGCCAAAGGCTATCCAGCCTGGCGACCGTGGATGGGTCACAGTGATCGCTGCAATCAACGCTGCTGGCTGGTCAGTCCCACCGTTCCTTATTTTCGCTGGCCAGTATCATCTATCTGCCTGGTACGAGGAAGCAGAGATCCCACGCGACTGGGCGATTGCAGTCAGCGACAACGGCTGGACGAACAATGAGCTAGGAGTAGAGTGGCTAAAACACTTTAACGCTTATACGAAGACTCGTGTCGTTGGTGCGCGTCGCCTGCTCATCCTTGATGGCCATAAGAGCCACCACTCTCTTGAGTTTCAAGAGCTCTGCAAGGAGAATAATATCTATACTCTTTGTATGCCACCTCACTCATCTCACCTGCTACAGCCGCTTGACGTTGGCTGCTTCTCGCCGCTGAAGCGCGCGTACAGCCGTGAGATTGAGAGTCTAATCCGCCACCACATCAACCACATCACGAAGCTCGAGTTTCTGCCAGCCTTTAAGGCAGCCTTCACGCGATCATTTACGGCAGCTAATATCTGCTCAGCCTTTCGAGGCGCAGGCCTTGTTCCTCACCAGCCAGACGTTGTTCTATTAAAGCTAGATGTGCAGCTCCGTACGCCTACACCAGCTGCTCTACCAGAGGCTCTCTGGGAAGCCAAAACGCCGAGCAACGTACGTGAGCTTGAGGCTCAATCAACATTAATACGTAATCGTGTGCGGCGACATAAGAGCTCATCACTAGCCTCAATTATCCAGGCAATTGACCAGCTTAAGAAGGGAGCTGAAGTGATGATGCTCTCAGCTGAGCTGATGCGCGATCGGATCACCAGCCTTGAGAGGGCTAATGAGGCAGCAACAAAGCGTAGGCAGCGTAAAAAGAGGCGGATACAGAAGCGCGGGACCTTAACAAAAGGAGAGGGAGAGGATATACTGGCTCAAAAGGAGGCTGACCAGCAGATAGAGCGTGAACAGCGTCAAGGTGGAGAGCGATCAGGCCTCAGCCGCCAGGCTCTTGCGCGCTGCAAGAAGTGTAGAGAGACTGGGCATAACTCCCGTACGTGCAAAATAGATAGTTTAGATACTATTTAATCTACTATATTAATATCTATACATTGTTCTACACGGTTGTTAAGATATACATCTGCAGAGGTGCGCAAAGTTGGTGGGGTGCGCCGCTCGCTTGTACGCGCCGCTCGCTTGTAAAACACGTTACTGCCGAATGATCATTCCAGGGCGTGGGCATTTAGCATTCAGTGGCCAAACATACTGATAAGAGTCTCAACTTCAACCTTCAATTTCGCCGACCCATAGTTGTGCTCTACACCTGAATGTTCCAGCGGACGTCACGTGACCTTACCATCATCGCCCTTCTTCGAACCCGACCTCCGAAAGGTTCCAGCTTATCATTCCATCCTCGTTGTATCAAAGGATATTGCCTCCGGTCAGCAGATAGTGTCTCCGCGCATTCTTGAAGATTCAGGTCAATGATGATCGTAGCGGGACTAGTCTAGCGTCTTCCCTGATGAGGTCATGACGTAATCAACCGCACTACCCGCTTACGATCTCCCCTCATGTTCCGCTTTCAACTAGACCTGCATGTGCTCAGGAACCCGAAAGTAGTGCCCGGTTTTTGCATTGGGGATCCGAGAGTCGGGCGCTCATGGCGTGAGCGGCACGGTTGCGGCGCGTCGGAGGTGTGGATGGGCTGAGCTCAGACGTTCAGCTTCCATTCTCCGATCGGAGGAGCTTTTCGGAGAACCCCGAGCGTTTGCATTAATTGTTTGTTTGGCCTGCTGCAGCAAGCTTTCAATCGCATCTCTTCGACAGCTTCTTCGACAGCAACATCGAACCTTGCAGTCCACCACCATGACGGACAACTACATCGTCAAGACCGTTGCAGGTACCTGCGTCGGCTTCTCTTTCATCCTCGTCGGTAGGCTTATCTATCAACGATTCGTGGCCATTCTGAATACTAACTTTGCAGGAAATGCGATCACCCAATCGTTCATGACTGTGCCGGCCCTCTTGGTCGACTTCCCTAAGCCAGGCACACCAGACCACACCTCGCGCGCACGTCTCCTCGGCCGCCAGTGGCCTCTGTGCTGGACGGTCGGCAACCAGTTCTTCCGTCCGATCTCTACCCTCGGCTTCCTTGGGTACGCCTACGCAGGCTACGCAGTCTGGAGGGAGTACAAGGAGCATGTCGTGGCGAAGGGTGACTGGAGGTTGTTCGCTGTAGCCGCCATTATGCATCTGACAACCATTGTGCACTCCGCGGTAAATATGCAACCATTGAATGACAAATTGGAGGCTCTTGCTGGCAGGACTAGTGAGAAGGACTTGGGCGAGGCTGAGGGTATTGCCCGGAAGTGGGGTAGCTGGAACAGGCTCAGGATTATTACACCTCTTATTGCTGGCACTTTGGCACTGGTCCAGCTTGCTCAGTAAATGCGGGATGCGTTTTCTTGTTATTGAACGGGGGGCTGAGGAATGCATCTTCGGGCCTTACTAGAATTAATAAGCATCTATATAGTTCATACTTAACTTAAATGGAGGTCTCATTTTTCGCATGATTTTTTTTAACCCCCGCAATGGTGCTTGCGATGAAACGACGTTGCCTCCACCTGTCGCTCCAAAGCGATGCCGCTGTGCCATGACATCGTAGGGACGGTGTACCACGAGCGCCAGAATTTTAATATTTGAAAGTCCCTATCATCTTAACATTCACGATAGGATTAGCTGCAAAGCCAAGTTCCGATGATCGCCTTCCACTTCCTGCATTTATTGTCTACTGAGCGGTCCCACCTTCCGCAAAGAATGAGCACTCCTGAACGCCGTCATGGCCGATCGTCATGCAAACTGACATTTGGAAGCAAGACCTACTGCGTCTTCCATCCGCTCCTCTCCCGCAGCCACCTCTCGAACCCACAGAGCTGCGGCTCCTCCTTCTTCAACTTGCCAATGTCCGCTCCGTACCCATCAGTTGCGAACCATGTGATCATGACATTCAACTCCTTCACGGCCCACATCAAGCCACTGCCGAAAAAGCTGTATGTCGCGATGTTCGCCGATCCAGTGACGCGTTCGAAGCAGCCCGCCATTTCCTCCAGTGTCAACTCGTCACCAGCCAGAGATTCAGCTCGGGTGTTCCAGCTCTCGGGATCGCGGAATGCCTTTGCGGCGAAGATGCCGATATCTTCGGTTGAGATCCACTGCAGTGGCTTTCCTTGCAAAGTGTCCCGGAGAGCTGCGAGGAACACCTTGGTCTTGAAGCCTGGCTCGAGGTTGTCCATGAACGCGACCGGGCGCAAGATTGTCCAGCCCATATTTTCGCCCTTTGATCCGGCCTTCTCGAGCAAGTGGTGCTCGATCTGGTACTTTGATTTGAAATGCGGGATTGGTGTCTCGTTCTCAAAGCTCTTTGCGTTGCCTCCACGATCGACGGAGGAGTAGACGAAGTGCTTAACGCCGTGAGCTACAGATTCGTCGATCATTGCTTTTCCTTGCTCGATCTCGCCCTCAAAGGTGACGCCGGGTCCCAAAGAGATCTGCACGGAGTATACCCCCCAGATCTTGCTGGGTTTTCCAGCGCTTTTGAGTGTGTTTTGTGCAGACTTGAATAGATCCGGTACATCATTCATATCGCCTTGAACGAGGAGGACGTTGGGAAAGCGGTTGGCGATCTTCTGGGCGCTGGTGGAAGTCGTGTTTCGGGTGACTGCAAGCAGGACGAATTGAGAGGAGGAAGCATGAGTGGCGAGTTGCTCAAGGACTGCGCCGCCCTGCTTGCCTGTTGCGCCAGTGATGAGAATAGGTTTCGCGGAAGCCATGATTGTATTTTGAGAGGTACGATTGTTGTATTGCGAAAAAGTAACGTTCGAGAAAGGCGGTAAGATGGAGCCTCAGCCAAGAGACGAGTGAATATGCAAGTGAAATACCTCAAGAGGTAATTCACTGCTAGCAGCCCAACCGGGCCCCCGTTTTCCGCCATACAGGTACGCGCGCAGTACACCGGCAAGCGGCGCCATGAGAGACGAGCCGCTTGAAGCAAGATACCACTGTCGTCACGACAAAGCCGGTCCACTATCAGCCGGATTAGCCAATTGCGAATGTCGACCTCAACCGTGCGACTCACGCTTACTGCGTTGACTGCACCGGCGTTCCCGAGAACGCGACTTGTACGGCATCGGAGCTCTCCACTCTCCCCTCACCCTTAGCCCGACGTCCGATGGCACTAGGAGCTTACCCAATGTGTATTGTCAATCAATTGTACCTTGACTACGAGTATCACTTTACGAGGGCATTTGATGAGATATCATGTCAACAATCATTTTCATTAGATGTTCGAGGTCTAGTGCAAGTCAGGATTTGCCGGACGGTCGTGAAGGCACTAGTGATACAATTCCTCTTTCGCTCTAGTAGTACGAGATCGACACTGGGATGAGGGAGCTATCGCGCACATGGCCCTGATACCAAACTGCATATGTACAACGCTGGACCCTGCCTCGCGTGCCAGGCGGCCGTAATGATCATCTACGTAATCGCAGACTTTCGCGGTCGAGAGCGACTTGATGTGAGATGCGAAATGCTGTAGAACCATCTATTTGCTCAAAACGCCGCTCAGTCTCTGTTGTAGCTCCTCCGCCTTCGAACTATTCACGAACTCCTTTAACTCGACGACCTTCGTCCCGTCCGGAGTCATCTTCACAAACAAAACGCACTCTGTCCACCAATCCGTGATGCCTCCATCGATCAGCTTTTTGCCCATCTCGCTCGCCGCATTGACTTTGCCTCCCATCTTGCAATGCGCAATGACTGTATTCGTCTCCTTTGAGAAGTGCACCTGGCCATGCGGCTCCATCTTGAAGTCTTCAAACAACGAGAAAATCATGGCGGCATGCTGCTGGAAGTTCTCGAGACTTCGAGGGGGGAGGTTGAGAGATAGCGGCAGGACTGTATGGGAGAACTCTTTCGATGCGTTTGCGCCGAGCGCTGCGGGTCGTAGGGTCGCGTATGCTTTGAGCAGCTTGCGAAAGGTTTGCAGGTGAGGTGTGACTTCTTGGGACTTCTCACTGCGTATGAAGTAGACTGTTGGGACGATCACTGAGAGTGCAGCGAGAGCCGCAGTTGCAAGTCGCAGCTCGGAATTTGAGATGTGGAGATTGAACATTGTGGTGATTTCGTGGTTCAGATGTTGTGTATTGTTGGTGAAGAAAGAGTAAAGACGCACTCTCTGAGGTTTTGATATTCAAGCAAGAACATACGTTTACGCAGGGTCCAGGGCGTGTTCGTAGACAACTGTATTGCTGACTACAAGCACGAGGGAACCGGGAAGTCACTGGCCTCACCATCGACCACGCCCGCCCGAATGAACGGTACTCCTCCAAATTCCGCCAGTCTCGCAACCGACATACAGATCGGATAAGCATTCTTTGAACCGTCCCCGACCTCCGACTTCTGCCCTGCCATCTCGCCGAGACCCACTAGTATCTTCAGCTGTGGAGGCAGGTCTCAACCTCGCAAATCCGTACTGCGCCACTTCCACGGCATCCTAGACATGTTTACGCCATCTTCATTGATGACCTGCATATCCGGTGGAGAGCCGTAAAAAGAAATTCTTGGATCTGCCACTCGTAGACCGCCCGCTGCTCGGCTAGTGTACCTCTGAATAGCGCGAGACGCTATCGGCATGTCGGAGGCTAGGGTCGCGAAAAGGTGACGATTACACTTCGTTTCCAATGTGACACCGCATCTGTCCACGATAACGCATTCCGAGCTCACAGCAACGCAGATTGTTTATCGAACCAACGTGAAATATCTGAGAAGCTCCAATGTTGGAGAAGAGGAAAGTTGGCAGTGAGCGGTGCTTTCCATCGTGCTGACAGGCGGCATGAGATCTCAGCCTCTGTCAGCGGGACCGTTCTCCACAGCCCGCATCGGCGGCCGCGCTAGACTATATTCTGACACTCGACATTTCATACCCATAGTCCCGAGGGCTTTGGTCCAGACTATCGGAGTATTCAACGAACTAGATCCCATTCGCAGCCAGTGGCTCGTGCCGCAACCATAGTGCATATGGGCACAGCGAGAGCCTTGCAAAGTGAAGTAAAGTTCATTATTTATCTGTAAAGATACAGGAAGCTAGGCCATGCTGGGATGATACTACAGCTGGGTGCATGAACGCCATTATGCACATGAGAAATGAAACAACACCGGTTACCAGATATGCCCGCGGAATAGCGACAATAAAATCAACACGTGTGTCGCAGGAACCACTACTCCCAGTCACCAGGACCCAATTCGATCGGCTTTCCTGCCCTCATATCTTCCATAACCTTCTCGATAGTCCATGGTTCATACTTGTAACCCTTGGGGTAGTTGGGCTCGAAGCTGGTCTCATCCTCCATGCTGATGCCCTTCTTCATGCTGGCAACAGCCTTTTCGTAGTTCTCATAGACGTATGCCTCCGGGTCATGGGACCAGACCCATTTGGGGAGCTTGGGTGCAGCACGGCGCGGGTCGAGCTTGACCTTGTCCCAGTCCGTATCTTGAAGGAGCTCGGCGTTCGAGAAGCCGAGTTTCTGGGCGCAGGAATTTCGGATGAATCTGAAGCGGATGTGTGCGCGGACAGACTGGGGGATGTTATCCCGACCGCCAATCTGCAAGCACGATGCTATCGACACAGCATCTTCGATGGCCTGGGTAGCTCCGTTGCCGGAAGCTGGGAGATATGAATGTGCGGCGTCGCCAATTTGGATGACGCGGGCGCCGGGCGAGGTCCAGGTGGGCTGCGGGTTTCTCCACAGTAGCTCGAAGTTGACAATGGTGTTGGGAGGGGTGACCTTCACCAGGTCCTTGAAGATAGGTGCCCACTTGTTCACCTCCATACCGGGCATCTCGTCCATACCTTTGAGCACTTCCTCGGCATCGATGGTGTTGCTCCAGCTTTCCTTTTCCGATCCCGTAACCTATAGTTCTTAGCAAATTCTTATGAAAGCAGCACGTTTTCAGTATGCTTACATCGTGGTTCATGATCCAGACCATCACATCCTCACGCGTTAGCGTCAACGCGTAGGTGGAGGGACCTAGCCACGTCCGTACGATTGGCTCATTGTTAGGCATCATCTTGAAGGCTTCCTTCACCTCTGGGTTTTTGTCCAGGTGCTCGATTGGGAATGCTGCACGCCACATAGCCCTTCCCGAGGGTTTTGCGCGGACTTGTCCGCCCACCAACTTCTGGCTCTTTGAACCTACACCATCGGCCGCGATAACAACATCAGCTTCATAGGTGGTCCCGTCGGCGGTAACACACCCAGCTTTGCCCGTATTTTCATTCTCAAAGTAGTCTACAACCTTACGGTTGAACTCTACACTCACACCATGCTTCTCCACTGCGCTCACAAACATCTTGTAAACGAGTGGGCGCATCTGAAATTCGCCCGGTGGGGTGCCAGGGTCAAGGCCCTGAGCGCGCAAGCGGTCCGCGACCTTCTTCGGTGTGATGATAACCTCTCCGCTGTGCTTGAATGTCTCAATCCAAGCATTATGGAGCGAAATACTCTTGTACTCCTCCATCAGGTCCGGCCAGTGTTTGAGGAAGCGTGTCGCACTAAGGCCCATGAAATACATGTCACCTGAAGCGGATGTAAATACGTTGAGCCAAGCCGACTGTTTGCAGCAATGGGACTAACCATTTGTGTTGATGCTCTCGCTCCTCTCTAGGACGCGAACAGAGTGTCCCTTTCGGATACATTCGAGTGCGGCGGTGAGTCCAGCCAACCCGGTGCCGATGATGAGAACCTCAATCCCGCTTGGTTCGTAAGTACCAAGGGGTTTCGACTCCATTGTTGAGTCGCGAGAGGTAAGCGCGTGAGGCATGTTCAAGGTTTCGAGTGTTGGGTGAGAAAGCGAAGGTGTAATCTGTTTGTGATCACTCCTCCCAGGTGCCGCAAAGTGTCTTTATATCAATGGCCCAGCCATTCAATCGACTAACGTTTATTTATACGATCATAATCGTGAGCCTTTGTCGAGGATGCTCCGCCAGTGCCCGCAGGGTGGCGTAATTTCTGCCGGCGGGCTTCCGAATGCCGGTCATTGCCAGCCTTCGAGATCGAGAAGTGCATGCTTCGTACGAAAATTACTGCACTTACCGCCAATTGCCGTGGCTGTGTCCAAGCTGCTATATCTCCTTTCAGGGTAGTGATGCTAGGTGAAATGGGACATGACGGCGACGTGTAAACTAGCGCAGCGCTAAGCGGAAGCGAGCGCATGTATGGCTGTCGACGAGGTCAAACCTGGCCCGAAGTGTAGCCCATGGTTCCCCACCATGTCCGAAGCTAAGCAAGCACGGGACGGGTACACTAAAGTCAGATCTCGTAATATTTCGCCCAGATCGTAGCCGGAATCGTCGAGGATTGCTGAATTTAGTTTAAGTGGTGTCACAACTGCGACCACAAAATGGAAACCTCACCTTGTGTCCTATGGCTCGAGACAGCCTCGAGCCGAGTTCATAGAGCGACACGAGAATACACTCAAATTAGTGAGATTCTATACTGGCACTTCGCTGATTGTTAAGACGGTCATAGTATCCACAGCTACGGACATGAAGATTTTTGTCCTGGCAACAAGTTGGAGCGAACTTCACTCCGAGGAAAAGAGGCCCGGAGTGTCCGCCCGGTCTTACCGCCCGGTCTTACCGCCGCACTGACAGTAACTCATGAGGATCAATGCAACCTGTTGATTGGCCTTGTAACCCTTACAGCAGACCAACCGCTCGTATTGACGGCTGTCAGCCACCCCGCCCAATGTCGCTCGGACTCCAGCGAAGCCAAAGCTTGATCTTACACTTCAACCTTGGATGTCTCAGCGCCTGTTATCGCTGCTCCTCTAGACCTTTTGCTCGTTTCAGTAGATCGACCATCATGAGACGGCTACCCTGGCGCCTGTTACGCATTGCCTCCACGCCCTATGCACACTGGCGAAGACCATAATTTCAGCAAATTCGTCAAAGTCTTGCGTGTACTGGAGCGAGCACTTCAAATGTGTGATAAGATGTTGCTGCTCGGTCGTTACTCTGGGTCGCAGCGCTGAGAATATGTCATGGTCGGTGCCGTTTAGTACCGATCTTGACGTGAGTATTTAGTGGAACACGCATGTGCTAGATCGACTTCAGCCAACCCGACTGGATGGTGCTGATGGCGTCTTGTACCATTTCGTGGTCCGTGGCTACTTCCTCGCACTTTCATTGGGTGTAGTTGCTCACCTTGCCTTTCAATCTGCCGTCGGTTGTCTCGTACAGCTTTGTCGTGCGGAGGTCCAGCCTCCGACCTGCTCTTTACCTGTGAGATCGATGCTAGTCCGGTGCTTGGCCCCGGATTGATATAAGACTCAGTTGGAGAGCCGACCATGCAGAGCTGCAACAAACGCAGGCTGCCACTGCATTGTTAGTATCATATACGTGGTACAAGAACCTACTTGCGTGGTTCTTCCCTTTACGATATACCTACGGTCACTTTTTCAGCAAGCAGTCATCGTTCGACGTATTGACATCAATACGACCCTCCCTTGGCAGAACGCGCTGTGCGCATATCCCCATAAATTGACCTCACCTCACCTCGTTGGCAAGCAAACATGCATCCTTTGACGCTGTATGCCGTGGGCATCGCAGCCTTCGGTTGGATACTCTGGCGATTCGGTCAAGCTCTTGCGAAACGTGACGCAAAGTACAATCCGCAGGGCCTTCCTGGACCCACTCTCATCCCATGGGTTGGACGCGTTCATGATCTCCCCATCGACTACATGTGGCTAAAGTTCTACGAGTGGGGTCAGAAGTACGGACCGATCTATCGCACAAAAATGCTGGGGGCAAACTTCATCGTTATCTCAGACGAAGAGATTTGCGAGGAGATCCTGACTAAAAAGGCCAAAATCTATTCGGACAGGCCCCAGATTAAGTCTTTGTTTGACGCTAAGAGTACTCATGGATCCATGGAATATCTGCCTCTCATGGGCCGTAACAGTAAGTTGTCGTTCTCATCATTTATTCTATCATTGACAATTTGTTAGAGTACTGGGCGCGCCAGAGAAAGTTCACTCACGCATACCTGATGGATTCGACCAACAACCGCTACTACGGCATCATGGAACTCGAGGCTAAGCGCTGGATGTACTCGCTCTTGAACAATCCCGACAACTTTGGATTCTCATTGGAAGATATGGCTTCAAAGGTCATGTGCCAGCTCACCTGGGATGACCCTAACCTCAGCGAGGCACTCACACCCAGCGCTTGGGGTTTGTTAACACAGATGTCTCCGGCCGGCCCAATCACCAACGTCCTGACGCCTCTCTGGGACTGGTTGCCTCAGCCGATCAACCCCTGGAAGATCGCTGAACGAAAACGCCACGACGAGCAGCAAGCCTGGTGGATGGAACAGTTGGTGAACACACGCAGGAAGCTCGAGAAGGGCAAGCAAAGACTGTGCTACACGCGCACATACCTGGAGACTTCCGAGAAGACTGCCATCTCGGGAGATTACGAAGCTTCTTCCGTGATCGGTATGATGGCCTTAGTTGGCATCTTCACTGTCGCTGGACCGCTGTATTACTTCCTTGTAGCAATGATCCATCACCCTGAATGGCAGAAAAAGTGCCAAGAAGAGGTTGACAAGGTCTGTGGACACAAGCCCCCTACTCTTGCGGACATGCCATATCTTCCTGTACTTCGCGCTTGCATCAAGGAGACAATGCGATGGAGACCAAACGTACCAACAGGTAAGCGTACCCGACATCTTGCTAACAGACTACTGAGCTGATTTGTTTTAGGTGTTGCTCATGAGCTTGAGCAAGATGACTGGCACCAGGGCTACTTCATTCCCAAGGGAACCCGTATCCTCCCGCTCGACTACGCATTCCTCCACAACCCCGTCAAGTACCCCGATCCGTGGAACTTCCGACCGGAGCGCTGGCTCGAGCCTGGCTGGCCTACATACAACCCTGACCTCACAAAGTTCCCCACAATCATGGGTATGACTTCTTTCGGCTGGGGCCAGCGCCAGTGCCTTGGTCAATCGATCACTCGGGACGAGACGCTTGTCGGCTGCGGCGCTCTCGTGTGGGCTTTCAACTTGAAGCGCAAGGTTGATCCCGTCACTGGCAAGGAAATTGAGGTGCCTACCACCAAGTCGAACTCGCTCCTCATCGTCAAGCCCGATCCGTTTCAGATGGCTTTCGAGCCCAGGAGCGAAAAGCGGAAGCAACAGATTGTTGACGAATGGAAGGCTGCAGAGGCACAGGATATAAAGGAGAGGACCGACTTCCTGAGGGCTGCGGAAGAGCAGGAGGTTGTAGCTTAAGCTGCTCATTCAGTATTTTTTTATTGTCAGACTTTATCATCTGGTAATTTTGTTGCACCATTGTGGCGTTTTGGCGAACCTTCCCACAAGCGAGTGTTGTAGATATCTTCTTCTGGTGCCATTCAGACATATTCTTTTTGATGAAAGACGTATTGTATCGAGATCATTTCCACTGGGTGTGCAAATGGATTCTGCGCACTTATGGCAGAAATCACTGGACTATGAGTAGTATCCAGATAGCCGTACGAAGCTGTGCGCACAGTAAAAGCGTACGTACGAGAGGCGCACGTTATACCTTGCTACAGCGTGTATGGCCATGAATATCTGACATCCAACATACCTTAGGTAAGGATGCTGAAGCGCGGACGGTAGGTAGTGGATGGGCGATGGTAGTAGAGACTTTGTGTATACATCCTATGCAAAGATGCATCTACACTCCATTGTTGAGGATGTGCTCAATGCAGAAGGATCGTTGATGGCATCATCGCTCAGCATGCCCGAAATGCAGAGGCTCGAGGATAAGTGCGACACGTGAGATTTCCCAAAGGAAGCTAGCGTGAAAACCACAGCCTTACGTACTCAATGTAGTTCCACCCGATCTGAGGATGCTCCATATCGAGAAAAGTCATTTTGCACAAGGTATGCGGGATTGCAAGCTGGACAGTGAAGAATTTCACGTCTTCAGCAGCAAAGTCCGCGGTACTTGTGTCTTGTTGTTTCCTCGTGGCAACATCTGCTGAAACATTGCTTCTTCGGGTACAACCGAACAACGGCGAATATCGCACTGAAAGTTCTCCACGCTTGGCCACCTTCTTGCAGGGACTAAGGAAAACAAAAAAGGCCCATGCCGTTTTGGGTATGTTGATGCGTGAAACACATTGTAAGACAAGCGCAGAAGCTCGGGTGCACTCCAGACACTGGGGCTTCGTTAAGTTAAGAGTTCCCTCAGGAATCGAACTGGCGGTTAAATAGCAATATAGAGAGAGCGTAAGCATTAGAAGGCTCCAGGGTTCGACCTGACGAAACGCAAGCGCAGGGTGTAGGCCATGCCACCGAGACCTTGACTGGGAGTCTGGGACCGGCGAATCCCCCCACAAATCCACTCATGTTGAACTAGTTCGCGCCCCACTGTGCGAGAATCTTTGCCTGAATTAGAACCGGATTGCAGCATGCGATGCGGCACGCGGGTGCGGTATCGGCGGTTCTTTGCTGCACGTAATGGGCGAAACAGACAACGGTATCCTTGCGAAGTAAGAAGGAGAGGTCCAGATTTTCGAGTATACGGTCATGATATGCTGTCGATCTGATCTTTTGGAGAGATGTTCTAATCTGGCGTCATTTGTTGCGGTGCCGGGCAAGTGTTCGGCTGCACTCCGTCACAATATGGTTATAACACGAATGATCTTTAGCTGGAGCACATGTATGTAGTAGCGAGGCGACAAGGCCAGTAAAGCTGAGTGAACAAAGTACTGACGGAGCTCACAATCTTCTGTTCCCCTCATGACATGTTTGGGCCAATGGCCCTGCTGCGGGAATCATGGGAGATCTAGAATAGCTTGCGGAATAACATGAGGGGTACCCACCAAGTGAGGCATTTATGTGATCTACCGCCAGCATCTGGAAAGCCAGATATACTCTGAGCGAACTAGATATTACTAGTACCGTGGTAGTAGGCAGCTCTAACTCGCGTAGAGCGATTGACGTTTCCTACAGCTCAGAGCGTCGTGATAGGGTGTATACCACCACGACCTTTTCAAATTCGATCGAGTAAGAGCGGAAGATATGATACACAGCTATAGAGGTCCCACGTATCATCGTTGCAGCTGACCCTTGGGATGTTGGAGGAATTACGGTCCTTGAAGATGACGCAATCGCTCATCAACCCCCATGTGAAGGGATGCTTTGTGGTTGCCTACTGCAGGCGCTGTCAGCCTAACGTGGGTACCTGCACGGATGAAGACAGCTTCTGTGTGGGGTCGCGGAGAAGAGCAAGCGGGTGCTGTGGGTCAGTGAGGCATGACAGTCATATAGTACACTACATAACCATCGTAATCCCACGCAGGAAGGACGGACCGCGGGCAAGGGGACCTCTGAGTCGCACCGTTCGTGTAGAAAATGCGCTATGGGTCTGATCGGGTTTCGTTGCGTTAGAACCTAACTTCTGTGAAGTGTCCCCTCGGTAACGCACGGAGAGATACGTTCGCAAAGGCTCCAGTTTTCCGCAACGCACTGTGACGCATGAGCTCATTGAGAAAGTATTTGGGTCAGAAATTAATAAGGCGGATTCCTTTCTCGACATGAAATGCCCCGCGGCCATTCTCGTAGCGATGTTGGCAAAGTATGACCCAAACACGTTGTGCTATTTCATTGGCTCAACGAAACGGAGGCCTGCATCGCTGCTGGGCAATGAACTTCTGCACTTCGCTAGAGAAGACGAAACAGCGTTTGCATTTCTGCAGATTCCGACCGCTGCGTGGACCTGTCTGGTTCGCCACGAACATGCATTTTTTGCGATGGGTGGTTGGATTAGGTGGCTGGATGAAGGTGGGGAAGTCGCTAGACGGAGGAGGCGCTACAAGCGGACTTTCGATAGTCCAACAACAACTCAGATCGGGGATGCGATTTTGGTTCCGTCGATGTATAGCTGAGCCCTGAGTGCGCGCCGTAATGTTCGTCGAACCTGATATGGCAAAGCAACGTGTTGATGCGGCGGGTGCGCTGTGCGGAAGTGGTGAGGCGAACGCTAGGGTGGCCCATCAGTCTGGGAGTCCTCCAGAAAACAGACTTTGCGCTTGCAATGCGCTCCACCGATCACGGCGCCAATAGGACGATGTTCGTACTTTTCCGCGTCATTAACATAAACAAAATTATGTAGGGGGCTTGCTGGCAGACACCTAAAGGGTAGGCTCGGGTGTCAACCAGGCGGCGAGGCGCACAAACGCGCTGGCGGTGCTAGGAAGTAGAGATCGGTGCCTTAGAATCATTGCTCTGACAGTGACATATGACGTCGAAACATATCCTCTTGAGTCTTGCACTCCAGGCGGTCTGCTGATGATGGAGAGACAGAAGCCACAAGCTGCATGTGCACTGCTGAATCGAGACTTTCCGTGCAGCACGTGGATCAGCGCGGCTCAGGCGCGGACGCCAGCGGGAAGCTCGCGTCCTTCAACGTCCAGCGAGGGTCATCCCAGAAGGCTTCAGCCCACCGTTCGGCCACCGCCTTGCTCTGTTCAACTCTTCTCGTAGGGCGGACGCAGTCAGCCCTGTGGGTTGAGCCCCATCACGGCCGTCGACGAGGTCTTCCTGTCATCGAAGTTCATCGGCGGAGGCTGCATTCGTGCGATTCAGAGGGAGGGGCGGGCGATCGTACTGATTCGCTACGGAGACGCTGTCGCATGGACAGGATCGGGGATCGGCTTTTCGATCATGGTTTAGCGCTGATTCGTGAACAACTCCCATTTGACGGTGTGCGTTCGACGAGGGAGCGCATGTCTTACCCGCTCTCGAACATTTGTGTCGGTGCAGGGCGAGACTGGTTGCAACTTGCTGCCGTCCTCGAGTGCGGCAAAAGCTCATCCCACGCGGTTGCTGCGCCATCCGAGACACCAGCATCCTTCACAACCCCCTGCGTGCCGGCCAGCCTCCCTAAAGGGTATATCCTTGGACCGCCTCGCGTGCGTGCTGCGCAGCTCACTCCACTCGTCCTTCGCGAAGGCACCTAGGTAGATCTCGACGGCGGCCTAGACTCTGGAGAATCATTCTACTTATACACCTCGTGCACCTCCGCATGTTGGCTCCACCCATTCCAATCCCAACCGTACTGCATTGCATCTTTACCTTGACCTCGGATTGTTCGTTGTCTGCTTGTCATTCCTACCATGGCACGGACTTGCGAAACCAGCCGAAGCCATTCCAGTAGAAGTACCACGATCAGCTCTCGACGCTCCGACGACACCGCGCCCACCGAATATAGCGCGCGACCGGCCGTGCCACGTACTGGGACGTGCCTCGGTCGTGTAGAAGGGCACTCTCGCGACTACTTCGCGACCGAAGGCACGATCGACGGCCGCACCTCAGTCGATACATACGCCTCAACTTCCGAGGAGGACCTCGCCGACGACTTCGACCATGTCCCTGAATACCATGTCCCGGAGTACACACACACACCGCTCCCAGTCGATGCTATCCCCACAACTCCTCGCGACTTTGCAGACCTCTTCCCAACATCAAAGCGCATATCAATCCGTCACGACGACTCTACGATCGATGGGAACATGAATCTGCGTGTGGATACGCAAGTGGAGGAACATAATCGGAACAAACAAAACTACACTCTGTTTCATCTGCGCATGCACGACTTGCGCACTCGTGAATTCTCTTTGCGGCGCTATTGCAGAGATTCCGGTCGTGAAGTCTGCCACTCCATCAGGAAATACCAGAAGCCGCCATCAGAAAAGCGTCCCGTGTTGCAACGCGCTAGCACTGCCCTCGCGAGTTTTCGCCACAAGCCTGATTCCCGGCCCTCCACGGCAGGAGGCCTTAAGCGTTCCGATTCTGGTTACGAATCCGTACATGACGTGGAGGTAGACGAGCATGAGTCACTACCACAGCCGACAGGCTATGCCAAAGGGCGCGCACTGCTGCCTACCAATACGCTCAAATTAGAGTTCTCTAACTATGCCCACATCGATGTCAAGCGCAGAGGAGCGCATAGTGGCAAAAAGTACGCCTTCGAGTACTGGGGTTACAATTATTCGTGGAAACGGGTCGTCAAGCAGGAGAATAGTCACGAGAGCGTTTCCTACTACCTGATTCGTTCGGACAATGAATCGGAACCCTTGGCTCATATCAGTCCTGTCCGGCTGACGCACGAGCAAGCACGCGAAGAGGCAGCAAGAGGAGGCTGGATTCCGCCTTGTTATATGCGCATAACCGACGAGCATATACTGAAGTCGAACAGCGATATCTCTGAGTGAGTACAAAAGTGGCAATACACATTATACATCTAACATGCTCCAGTGTTGTGGTTGCAACTGGCTTGATGGCACTAGTTGACGACTGTATAAAGCGACGTTTCCACCAAAAACAGTCCACTCAGTTACACATCCCACTTATCCGGAACAAATTGCACCTCGACTACATTGGCCCAAAGCGGCTAATTGATGAGATGTTCAATCGTACCAGCCGCAGCGGCCCGCCAAGTAGACAGCCATCTGCGTTACGCCGACCCGCCACGCAAGCGTAGTCTTTCAGATCGAGCCTCAAATTGTATTGTCGGGACTCATTCCATTGGAATGGGGCCCTTAGCGGGTGCATACATTTCTTCGTACATACTCCCTTTCTGCGCTCTGTTTTTTTTGTTTGTTTCAATGTTGGGAACCGCATGTGCATCGGAACTTGGCGTCTAGCGTCTAGCGTTTGGGCACGCATCGCGGTCACAGAAGTTGAAGTGCGCGCTGTTCTTGATATTATCGTTGCTTTGGCTGGATCAGATCAATGATCGGAGGTTCTCACCAACATCGCGAAAGGCGTGGACGTTTGCGAGTGTTTGGCAATCGTCCCAGTTTGTATACGAGCTTATGACTCATCATGGTAATGCAGAATTCGAGCAGCACGCTCAGCCGCACCTCTCTATTACAATCGCTGGTATAATTGCCAAGGGACCTATGAAGATGAACAACGATGCTTGCGCAGACTATCAAGAGTTTGTGGATTATGCATGCGGGGCACATTGCCTCATGTCTCACTTCGTATCACAGGCTAAGTAGGTATCCGTACAATGACTAAGGCTCGTAATCTTAGTACCCGTTCAAGATCGCACAAGATCACACAAGACCGCCAGCGAAGGTCTTTTTGAACGAACTGTCTTCAGTCCTCATGGTCTGATGCAGGTGCACTCTTATCCCCACTTTTCTAGGCAATACGGACGGTTCATAGATGCGTATGGTGTGCAGCCTTGCGATGTAAGAATGATGCTGCCAGCACATACATATGCACGGCTCCATGCAGAATGCTGGCTCACCGACCACCTGGGGAGTCTCGGACACGATGCACACTTGCCTTGCAGCTCGGGCCGTCTGTACGCCAGCTTGCCTGCTCGGAACCCATGGTACCCCGTGGATGAAAGATACCGACTCTGATGGCACCCTTAGACGTGTCAGTATCTCCAAGTGTAGCTATAAGTACATTAATCCCCGTCGCAAAAAAGCTCCAAGCCACAGAAGCCGTACGCTCTTTCACTGGTTCTACAAGCTACAATATATCACTATCAAATTTCCGAATCTACTACTTCAGGTTCTCATTATGCCCGCACTAGTTGCTCCACAGTCTATGCCTTCCGCCCAAGGACATTGGGCTCAGCGGCTTAGAGGTATGCAGTTTTCGATGGCCAAGCCAAGTTGCTGTGTTGGGAAGCTTCCTTACTTCTGTATCGCAGGCAGTCACTTGCATGAACATCCACTAATCACCATTAGAGCACTGCAGCGTTCGAAAGCTGGGCGACCCGACCTGGCAGGATGTTAGCGACCGTAGAGGTAAGTTTTGTATTCAACGTTCTATGCTTCGCAGCTCCGACATTCGCGAAACGGCTAGCCCTGTGGATCGGCCTTCTCCTGTCATCTAAACTAACACCCACTGACTCTTCTCTCAGGAGGTCGGACAGCCTGGAGTAGCATCGTATTAATTCAAGGCGCACAGTACTCAGCTCGATTCTGGTACTCAGGAGAGCGACTTGAACAGGCACGCGAAGACGCAGCGGAGATGGCCCTCCGTAACCTGACGGGATACACCAAACCTAACCAACAACCTCCACCAGCCAGGTGAGCCTCATATCATAGATTTAGAGCAGGCAACTCACCATTTGCTAGCTACTATCTTCAAACTGCGTAGAAAGTTGGATGATCTGGAACATGGGGCGAACGCGAGACGCCGAGGGTGTCGGTTATGCTGCAATATTGTATCTTCTACGTTCTGGACTTGTAGGAGTATGGGCGAATCCTTTAATTTTCCATTCCTGTGGCCCTTCGAAACATTGCTAGAGAGAGATAAGAAAGGTTGATGGAGCTGTCGTTTTCGTAGGACTGATATGTTGTCTAGGCCAGTGAGTGATGGAGTCGCTGGGGGGATACTTGATAGGTCTCCGTAACGAATTTCGGGTATCACCTCAGAGACCTCTCCCCGCTACCGTGTGTTAGGAATACTGGTTCATGAGCTTTGCGGACGCATTTCCCATGGCTGTGGTACCTCAACAGGTCAACTTCGTCAAATCACTGCACGTTCCACAGCAGTGACTGGGTTGCAAACTAGCTCATGCGAGAAACAAGCTAGAATAAAGGTGCATGAACTCCGTAAATGAGTACGCTGCCTTCGATAGGCGATGTGCTTCCTGCAAGCTGCACAATTTCGCCACGTACTACAATTGGCGACTATCCGACGAGGTCGACACCTTCATACGCGTTGCAAGCAATATGGGAATAGTCTTTCTATCACGTTTACGAACGACGGGAACGTCTGTGGTGGCAGCACCCTGTCATGCCATTGCTGTTCATGAGATTGGCGCTAAATCGTGTAAGGGTCATCTGGAGACTACCGTACAACCAAGGCTTAACGTCTCTCACGCTCTTTCTCATCCCACTATGCAATGGTTGCCCACTCTCGCCCTTGATCATACGCATCACTCTTGAAACCTCTGAAAGCTTGGATGAAGGCGGGGTATACTATACTCCCAACCGATACCGAAGTCGGCTTCTTGGAGCGACGGGACTGTGAGTTGGATGTACGCTGTGTCGTATAAGCCACCGTCGCCGAACTTGGCAAAATCCCACGACATCAAAGGAGCATCAGAACTAATGCATATCGGTAGCCTTGTGGACAATATTAGGATTCCTTTAAGGCAGGCGTATCGCGCGGCATCCAGCTAAACTGGCGCCCTCAGCCAATCGTCCGTTCCGATGTTAAGCGTTAAGTATATGTGTTGCACCCCTTGCCCATTAATTCCAAAAAGGCTTCCTCGGAGGTTACCTTCGCATGAGGATACCACCCGACTACGTCTGGGACCTGGAGAGCGATCTACATCATTTGACGTCTCGATGACTTTCAAAGAGACCAATTCTCGACGTCATCATGATGCTCATGAAAATTCACAACTCGAGCAATACATCGAGACTCTTGAATTGCCCTTAACCTTTTCGGCCGTCAATCCCGTATGACTCCACCCGCTCAACCTGGCTCAAGCAATTGAACAACTTGCACGCGCATGCTGCGCGCACATAATCTGTCTCGTATGCGGAAATGGGAGATCACCCGAGCGGTTTTCCTGCAAATGGTTACGCGAGATGGATAGTCACTCTCAGCCCGGATAGGCAGCCTGCAGATACAGGCTGCCTGTTGACGTGGGATGAAGACAATGGCCCTGTACACGTCAGGGTGGACGGTCGAACCCCTGTTGTCTGCCTAAACTAAATTACCGATATCCTAGACAACCTGCAGTACGCGTACGGTATCATTCGATCTACACTTGGAGTAACACCGCCAAGTATTGCTCTGCAGATGCTTGAGGGACAGGGATGCAGCCCCTCATGTACAGAGAACACTGGACTCACGTGGCTCCTGGAATTTCACTGGCGACAGGAGGGAATTGTTGGTATAGAATCGTTCTCAAGGCTGTTCAGAGGGAGATCCCATCTGGCATAGCAGAACGTCCACCATTGGGTCCGCTCTGATATCACAAGGGAAGCGTAAGACCACCCGGCCTTTCGCGACTCAGCCAATCGCGATAAAACAAGAGTCACCCCCCAAAGATTGCCTTGATGTGGCATCTGAAGCGAACCGCAACTGACAGCATGGCTTAAGTTGTCGAGAGCTGAAAGAATATCGCTAGAAGTGCTTTCATGGTCGGAAGAAGATGGCCATCCTTTCAGCCGGTCTTTGACTCTACGGATGCGTGCCATTGGAAATAATTTCCGCGGAACAGCAGGACTGGTATAGTAACGAGCTGATTGCCGAAACATCGAGTATATGCACTTCATCAGACTGCGAATCAAACAGCAATACATGCGTTCCATTATTCACGACCCTATATATGTCTCCTTGGACACAAATGATGCGCTGTGGGCCATGTGTTTCCGCAAAGCGTTAGCTACGGCATTGGAAATTCTCGAGCCAAGCGCGGGAAGAAGACGATCTCGCTGACGGCATGTTGATGCTCTGGTGGGATGCTCGTAGACAAAAGGCGGAGAAGGCTACTCATGCGAGTTGAGTTGGAGCAGACCAATGCCGCGTTCTGCGTGTTCAAAGCGGCGACCACTGTGACGATTATGCTGGAACTCCAGTGCATGCCAAGTTCGTTTGCGTCCACAGTCAGAAGGAATATGAAAAGCACTGTGTAGAATGCGAAAGGCTGTACATGTAAATAGATCCCCAGCATAAATCCGAATTAGCTGATAATCAATTGTACATTACGTACTTGGGCGTGCCGACAATTCCTTGCGATGCACAGGCGCCTATTACCTAAGTATTCTTGGAGGCAACCCCCTCCAGATTGGGACCGCTGCTGCACTTGGCCCCATCGAGGGCTCTTTCTTTCTCTATCTTTTCTCACTCTGATGATAAACATCCTCCCTCTCCAGGGACCTTTAGTTGGTACTCAACCTCCCCGCACACCGGCCAACGGTCGATAGCCACGAAATTTACACCTTTCAATGAGCTGCAACTAATCCGTTACGATGCGCGACGATTAAATAAAGCTGCCCATCACAGTTTGAGGAACCAGTGCATCGGAAGGTTGAAACGTGCAGGCATCAACTTCTTAGCATGTTCGTAAGACACACTGCCTGCGATACTCAGGGGTGACACGAGGATCGCTCACGGCTGTCTGCCTCCGTGTCGTGACGATAAGTCTATTAACGCGCCGATGCGGAAAGCCTAACATTGTCTAGACATAGTAGATTTACGGTCATGGTCTTCCGATCAAAAGCAACGCAGCGCCATCGTACTCCCCACCCGTAACGCCACGTACCGTCGCCGCCCACACACACACCACTACGAAGGCCATTGCCTTGCTCAATCCAATACTCGTAGGGATACCAGGCCGACGAAGAGAGTCGCGAGATATGCCAAGTATAGCATGAGCTATTCGCGCCATCGCACAACCTCGTGGAACGGTTTGGAGTGTGCATCTACATCAATGTCTCGATGGATCGTCATGGAATTCTCTATCATTTTTGCGCATGAGTCCTTCACATACAAACCCATCGCCCAACTACCTATGGTAATACTTCGCCACTAAGCATACAGAGGAACAAACCCACTCACGAATTTTCCGAAGACGCGAGGAAGCTGGGAAACGCGAGCCGCCACGCCACGCGAGTGGAAATCAAACTCTATGAACAGTTCCGTCCTCCATAACATACCGCATTGGATTGTATCCAGCATTCGTCGGCCTGGTACACGTCCTTATGCGGTCGACATCCATGCGGGTTTATCTTAGAATTATGATCGGCCGTCCGTGGCGATTCGTCGAGGCAACGTTGATTCTCTCATCGGAGTACTGCGCTCGCGCGTGCGGAAGAGCTTCTGAGACTTGATAAGACACATTGGAGACGACAGGAGGTAAACTTTACTGTTGGCAAAGGTAGCGAGAAAGCGAGGGTGATGGGATCGAGGATCTTGTACCACAACCAGTGGAAGAGATTCAAACGCGACGGAATCAAGTGGTATACAAATCTTTCGCGGTCTAGAGTCAGTCTGGCAAGGTCTCATGGACAAATATTGACAGGAGCATAGATGGAAGATGCACTGATTCCATGTAGGGAAGTGCCAGCTTCACAATCAGAAATCTCAAAGGGACCAACACGACAAACACAGGTACAGACGAGATCGCAGGTCCCGATACGAATCCACCGCAGCGCACATATTGCGCCGTTACAGCATCAAACCAATACGTGCGCAAATGTCATGCTGTATACGAGTGCAGACGCTTCATTAAACCATGGAGGCCCGGGCAAGTCTCAAGCAATGTATTGGCATCCGCACGGCCCGAAAAGCACCGACAGTAATCTCTTGGGGTCCAATGAATGGGCACGGGAAATTTTCCCGTGCGGGCCGAAGCATATGAGTCGAGGGGCAATGGACATCTCAGAAATATCCTCGCTCTGTACACAAATTGTCTACTGACGATTCAGACTCGTACACTCCCCTCTTGTGAGAGATTGACACCCAGACATAGGGTTATACTCGAGCATCCTAACGAGTTCTCCTGCACACATATGAGATGACCCCCACATACCGATCTTGTGACCCAACATTTTGCGCTCTATTCCTTGAACACCGTGCTCGCCTTACAGATGCAGATTCTCTTCTAGTCCCCTACAAAACAGACGGGACTCTGAGTGTCGTTCCTTGCAATCGTCTCACACCGCTCCCTGCATCATGTCCGGCATGCTGCGAGTCTCGGAGTCTTTCGCGAGTTTGCGAGAGGTGAATACTCTCAGTGGCACTCTAGCAGAAGGTGAAGAGGGTCCACGTACACTAATTAGAACTTCTGTGATTCCCACTGAATCAATCCCATCCTACGCGGTAGCCTGTCCACGTGCCATCACACTGACAGCGACAAAGTTGCTTACCAGCAATTCTCAGCATCCACTTGATTTCCTACGCCCCTCTCCCACTCTCGACCCCAGATCTCACCTAATTGTGTGAACGAGACCGCACACATGTATCCATACGACCTTCTCTATCCGAAGAGCCCGCATCATACTCAATGCCCCCACCTCTGGCCCACCTAACGACCCTATCGGCATCTCGCACCTCTTGATACACTTGTCGATCCGAATTACGATTTAGAACTTCAACTACATTCACCATCCCAGCCGAGCTCACCAACTTGAATCACGCACACCGCCTCCCAAGCAACCGTGCCACTCAACAACTCCAAGCACGATCACTTGCTGACTCTGCTATCCTCTGTCCATCTACTCATAGCCTCCACCTCACCTCTTCCCTCTCGCCTCACACGAACGCTCTTCCCACGGGCGACAAAACTTCAACCCTTACATCGACCCCCACAGCGATTGACGCACATGCGTACTCCCAATACGCCCCAACAGTCCATCTGGTCCTCCTCACACGTCGCACCCACGCAATCGGCGACGCACAACTTTCTGAGACTCTTGCCCTACTGCAACCGTTCTGTCCCACCCAGCCCCTAAACCCCTTCCCCCCACTCTCACCAATATGTGCTTCATGGGACACGCATTATATCTCACAGCACAGTATCGCACACCACACGCCAATCGACCTTTATATACTCGCCCTGGCCATATAGTTTCAAGGAGGATATGATACTGGGTATTTCCGCAAAAACTATACATACAAGAAGAAGAAGAAGTGATCAAAGTAGCCTTGTAGCAGTGCCAGGCGTCGTGCGTCGGCGGGTATATATATGTACAGTAGGCACACACTAAGGCATGCCATTTGATGGGTGTGCAACGGCACATCGCCACAACAACGCAGAAAAGCCATCCACCCACAATCTTCTTCTTCTTCTTCTTCTTCTTCTTCTTCTTCTTCTTCTTCTTCTTCTTCTTCTTCTTCTTCTTCTTCTTCTTCTTCTTCTTCTTCTTCTTC